AAATGTGTCTAGTTAGGTCAATTTATTTGTGTACAACATTTGTTTTGTTTGTTCACAATGAGTAAAATGTGTAAGTTCTCACACGCGTGGGGGTGGGTCACTTATTGTACTGTGAGAAAAGATTTGTTCTCGTTGAGAAAGACGGTGAAGGTGGGGTATTGTAGGGTACACCTGTATTGTAGTGCGAGAAAATTTGTGTTCCTTTGTAGGAGGGGGTGGGGGGTCACATACTTTGATGTGAGAAAAGATTTGTTCTCTTGGAGGAAGGAGGTGGGATCATATAATGTATGAATTTTGTAGTTTTACAAGTTTTACCTGTATTTAGTGTGGTTTTACATTGCCGGGTCAAAAATGACCCTAACACCACAGTCGTAACTATTTTTCTGCCGATACTTTCAGAAATGTCAAAATCATAAAACATAGTTTTGCTGTGTTTATATTTGTGTTGTGGAGGATATCATAAAGCCTCGTTCTCATAAGATCAACTACATGGAAGTTATTACATATTATAACAATGAAACATGTCGCTGGAGACCCTAACACAACATAAGGGCTAGAGGACAAGAGGAGGAGGCAGACCAGGACAGGTGGTGCTGCTGTCAGGGTCTGGGCCTCTGGACACAAACTGGACAAAGCCTGGCTGATCTGAGCTAATGTGAGAGTTGATCCAGGACTGGTAGTTGGACACTCTGGAGTAGACTCCCGGCAGATTGGGTTGAGCACAGCCATATCCAAAGCTAACAACACCTGACTGGACCCAGACAGGGCCCTGTTTACTGACCATTGGACCTCCAGAGTCGCCCTAAACACAACAGAATATGTGTGAGACTTTTGTGGACCACAGGTTTTTCAGTAATTCCAACACAATACCTGACAGGAGTCCTTTCCTCCAACTTTAAGACCTGCACAGATCATGTTGTCTGTGATTGTGCCCACTCCATTAAGACAATTACACTGACGGTTTCCAACAACAGGAACCTCCACTTCTTGAAGAGTTTCAGGAAACGGGAGTGGCTCTGAGAGGATACACAGAGTTTGTCACTCAATACATTCATATGATGAAGACTGTGCAAAGTAAAGACGATCAGACTGACCTCCCTCTCTGATGGCACCAAAGCCAGTGACCCAGCTATCAACTCCAGCGTTGAACACACTGTTAGTGGCTGCGAGACACACTGGCCTGATGTAACGTGTGAAGGTGACTGCTGAAGACAGTCGGATCAGAGCCATGTCGTTGTCGCTGGTGAAACTGTCATAATCTGGATGTAGAATTATGTTTGATACTGATTTGGAAACTTCATTTGGGTTTGTGCCTTTTAGGTTGTCCCGGCCGAGAGAAACCCGCCACCCTCTGGTTCTTTCACTGAAAATAATATTTTCAGTAGAAGATCTTTTTAAAATTATGAATTATATTCAAAAGTCCTGACTCACCTGGAGAAGCAGTGGGCTGCAGACATGATCCACTTTCGGTTGATGAGGGATCCGCCACAAATGTGTTGGCCAAACCTCTGCAGACTGACCTGCCAGGGCCAACTTCCAGCTGGAGCATCTTCACCTCCAACTATTTTGTTGTTCAAAGGAGCTCTGCCACAAACTGAAGACAAGAGAGCACCGGTTATTTCATGTTTTAAATTCTATTGTTTCTCTTATCGAGTTTCATTAGATTTGTTGGGCTGTTTTTGTATAAACATGTGAAGGGACTTGTGTCACAAATGAAGCATGTTTGCCCTAATTGGGTTCAAGTGTGAATAAACCCTCAAAGCTTTTCATCAAGAGGCATTAAAGACATGTGGCATTAAACAGATTATAAACAGGTACTTCATGTTTATAATCGATAATATGGATGTGTTTTCTGCTGCTTGACTCCTGAATTTCTCTTTTGGGGGATTAATAAAGTATCTATTTATTTATCTTAATCTTTATTTGAATGTCATTTATTTAAGACATAAGCAATATTTATGTGATACCAGCTCAGCTTCATTAGATCACTGTCAATTGTGACTAGAGATTGTTGTTAGTGTGTAAAGTTGCAAACACAGGACACATGTGTGACCCATGAGAAGCTCCTGGTCTCTGAGAATCATCTGGGAGCCAAAGCCCGGATTTCAACATCAACAATGTGGCCTTCTTGTCCATTGTTTTTCATAAATAAGAATACACATGTATTATGTATTTATGGATATGAACACATTTCACAAATCTCTGGGAACAAATAAATCATGTATTTGTAATTTAAAAGCAAAATCCGTTAAAGTTCCTTTGAATGTAAATGAACAATTGCAGAAAAAGGTTTAATTTCTTTGGCCAGTCATGGACAGAAGGAGTGTCAGTGTCTTTGTGCAACTCTGTTTGGGACCTGTCTGTGTCATTATTTAAGCAACACCTACAGATACAATGGATTAGTTCATGGGACATTCTAATCTCCTTGTATGAGTTACTCAGGCTATTTTGAAAATAACACGCTTAATATACACAGAGAGAGAGAGAGAGAGAGAGATCATCCCCTTCTGTACTCACCATCGAGCTGAGCCTCTGATTCTGAAAAATAGTAACAGTAAAACTAAGTTAATTCATTGATAATGTCTTGATATAGGTATCAAGGTATAAGTGTAAGTATTAGTAAACCAGTAACTAATGTTGTTATACTTAAAGCACAATGTAAGTATAATTGAGTAAGATAATGACAAATTCTGAAATCCAATCTTTGAGTGATTGTCTGGGGAAGTGTTCTGTCCCAGAATTCAAAACTTAATCGCCCACTGTCTGTGAGTAATAATCATAATAACAATGATACATTTTATGTCTTAGAGACGATAGAGAACACTGCTTAGAAATAAATTAAGCAGTGTTTTTTCCTTGATTCCTTGATTTTTTTTAAATATAAGTCAATAAAAAAGGCCGTTCTCCCAGGTGTGACAATAGTTTAAGAATGCTACAGCCTAATGTACAGTTAATGAACCTTACCTTTGCCGAGGAGGCATCCCAGCATCAAAATGCAGACGCAGCGTTTGAAGGCCATTGTGTGATGCTCGATGGTCACAGCGGCTTATATAGGTCTGTCAGATACCTGTGGGAAGGTGTCATACTTCCTCACCTCACTGTCTGTACCTCCTTCATCGTTGTGTAATTTAAGATTAAACATCTATCACTGGAGAGGTTTACATACATAAATAAATGTGTCGTATATGGTAGTATGTGGTAATGATATATGTACAAACATTTAAAACCTATTTTTACTTGACTTGAACGGGGACGTAACAAGTCTAATGTCTGACTGATGAAATGACAGCTTAAATACATACATTTTACATACAGTGGATGATTCTCAGGGAGAAGGTCCTGGGTTTGAATCTCAGTCATAAACAAAGTCTTTCAGAGTGGTGTTTGCATGTTCTTCCCATGCCTGCGTAGGTTTCCTCCGGGTGCTCCGGTTTGCACAATAGATATATCATCCAGCTGCAGAAGTCCTGACCAAGCCGAGCATCAACATTTGGAGATGGGTTCTTGGGTGCTGTACTACAGCGACCTCTGGTCCTGACCGAGTGGGACGGGTCGAATGCAGAGGTTGAATAAATACGTCCTGGAGACTTGAATGTCTGAGATTGTGCTCACATTGTTGTTCTGGTTCACTTTAACTGGACCAAGTCTGGTTCACTTTAACTGGACCAACTCTGGTTCACTTTAACTGGACCACCTCTGGTTCACTTTAACTGGACCAACTCTGGTTCACTTTAACTGGACCAACTCTGGTTCACTTTAACTGGACCAACTCTGGTTCACTTTAACTGGACCACCTCCTGTTTTTAAAATCCTTGTTGTTCACTGTCAGTCTGCAGAACTGTGTCGGTGCCATGGACTTAAGTGTGAGTTTCTATTGTACTGTGTTCATATGTTTGTAAGGCCTCCACTTCATAAAGAATCGATTTAACTGGAAGACAGAGGTAATCAACAGAAAAGTACAACTCAAAAAGACCCAGGAGAACAGATAATCCAAAATAAAACAAGAACTAAGAATGACAACCATTACAAAATGACCAATTTGTGTTTGTTTTTAATGCGTTTTATCAAATTGATGAGCTCAACGTCACTGTTACTAATGTTCCTGAAATGTGACACACAAACACATGGTGCAACAGGTTTGCGACATTCTGCGTCTGTGTGATTTTGCCAAAACCAGGAGTACGAAAGGTTAAATGCACAAACACTCACAGACACAGGTGAGGGAGGGGCCGGTGTGAGAGCAGACACAGGTGAGGGAGGGGCCGGTGTGAGAGCGGACACAGGACACAGGTGAGAGCGGACATACTCTCAAGCTGCTTTCAGACCGCCAACACTGGAATGCTGACGCCTCGCGCACCAGGCGCACATTCTCTAATTTTCAGACGCAGGGGTGTTTAGACCAGAAGTCCTGGCGCGTGCCAAAAGTGGCGGAAGTAGCGGGTGGACTTTGATGCTAACAGAGTTAAGCTAGCGGCTTTTTGTGTAAATTTCTTCTCCAATAATGCAGCTTTGCAGCGTGTCTGTGTCAGAGACCTTCCACGGACTTTATATAACAGTAGTATGTGCGTGCAACGCACATGCAGTTTGACGCTCGAACGCGCGTCACCATTGACTTTGCATTGAAAGTTGACGCAGCATGATCCGGTCTGAAAGTAGCATAAAGATAAACAAAAAAACCCTTGTTACGGATTCCAGAGAATTAAAAAACTTTTGTCTTTGTGTGTTATCTTATTCATATTAAACATTAAATCTTACAGAATCTCATCTGAGCCACGGGACTCAGGCTAAAGTAACAAGTTGAATGATAGGAATGTCCTAATATTAAGTACCCTTAAAACGGATGTAAACAAAGTCCACTTAGACTTTGCACAGTAAAGAGAAATGAAATGTCTGAACAAAAAGTGCAATTTAGGAAATTTATTTGAAGTTTACAAATGACAAACAGCCTCTTCCATGGTGTTAAAAACAATACACAGCCCACACACAAAAGAACAGATGCATCAGGGTTTCAGTCGAGTTACATTGAGACACCGTGTTGCGTATTCTTCCATTACTTCAGTCTTGCAGAGTGTTGCTTCAGGTAAACAGCTCAAGTACAGAGTCAGCAGAGGAAGCCACAGCACACCCTGCTGAAGGGGCAGCATTACACCTGTGGCCTGTGGGCCAAATGTGGCCATAAGATCTGTTTTACTGGCTCCTGAGGATTTCCATCCATTTTAAAGCTAAAATTTGATTACAAAAATTTAGTTTAATACAAGTTTCATAAATTCAAATCAAGCTTTAAAATATCTGAGCTTGTCATTACACAGTGTAGAGGTCAGGGACGTTCCTCTTGATCGGAAAACAACAAGACATTCAATGGACCTGTTGTGTTTTTCCCTGGGTTTAAAACATTTGAAACACAACGTCAGACCTCCGCATCATTTGTCCTTTACCTCAATCAGTATGAAGTATTTATCTGAATTAGTGCTATATAGAAAATATCAATAATCAATACTGAAATATTCTGGTTGGACACTGCTGTTATAAACTAATGTGTAAGTGGAATAAACATTTCACATATTTGTTCCAATATACAGTACTCGGCCCCCTTGAACCTTTCAACATTTCGCCACATTTCAGGCTTCAAACATAAATATATAAAATATTAATTTTTTGTCATGAATCAACAACAAGTGGGACACAATCGTGAAGTGGAACGAAATGTATTGGATAATTTAAACTTTTTTAACAAATAAAAAACTGAAAAGTGGGGCGTGCAATATTATTCGGCCCCTTTACTTTCAGTGCAGCAAACTCAGTCCAGAAGTTCAGTGAGGATCTTTGAATGATCCAATGTTGTCCTAAATGACTGATGATGATAAATAGAATGCACCTGTGTGTAATCAAGTCTCCGTATAAATGCACCTGCTCTTTGATAGTCTCAGGGTTCTGTTTAAAGCGCAGAGAGAACCATGAAGACAAAGGAACACACCAGGCAGGTCCGAGATACTGTTGTGGAGAAGTTTAAAGCCGGATTTGGATACAAAAAGATTTCCCAAGCTTTAAACATCTCAAGGAGCACTGTGCAAGCATCCATCCATCCATTTCCATTTTCTACCCTTTAATCCATTTCTGGGTCAGGGGGGTGGCAGTCAGAGATGCACCCAAGTCTCATAGCACCAGCCCCTCACTGACCCTCTGCAGGTGGTGAGTCCACAGGAGGACGGCTGCTCTCTGAGTGTGAGCATAGCCTTGATCTTTCAGTGGGGGCTTTGGGCAAAGTGGGGTTAAGTGTCTTGCCCAAGGACACAACGACAGCAGTCAGCAGTGGGAGTCGGCGGAGAAGTTGTAGAGGTGGGAATTGAACCCACGACCTTTAGGCCTGAAGGCCGATGCTCTACCAACTGAGCTACTGTCGCCCCTGTGCCACTGTGCAAGCAATTATATTGAAATGGAAGGAGTATCAGACCACTGCAAATCTACCAAGACCCAGCCGTCCCTCCAAACTTTCATCTCAAACAAGGAGAACACTGATCAGAGATGCATTCAAGAGGCCCATGATCACTCTGGATGAACTGCAGATAACTACAGCTGAGGTGGGAGAGTCTGTCCATAGGACAACAATCAGTCGTGCACTGCACAAATCTGGCCTTTATGGAAGAGTGGCAAGAAGAAAGCCATTTCTCAAAGATATCCATAAAAAGTCTTGTTTAAAGTTTGCCACAAGCCACCTGGGAGACACACCAAACATGTGGAAGAAGGTGCTCTGGTCAGATGAAACCAAAATCAAACTTTTTAGCCACAATGCAAAAACGATATGTTTGGCGTAAAAGCAACACAGCTCATCACCCTGAACACACCATCCCCACTGTCAAACATGGTGGTGGCAGCATCATGCTTTGGGCCTGCTTTTCTTCAGCAGGGACAGGGAAGATGGCTAAAATTGATAGGAAGATGGATGGTGACAAATACAGGACCATTCTGGAAGAAAATTCTGCAAAAAACCTGAGACTGGGACGGAGATTTATCTTCCAACAGGACAATGATCCAAAACATAAAGCCAAATCTACAATGGAATGGTTCACAAATAGACGTATCCAGGTGTTAGAATGGCCAAGTCAAAGTCCAGACCTGATCCAATCGAGAATCTGTGGAAAGAGCTGAAGACTGCTGTTCACAAACGCTCTCCATCCAACCTCACTGAGCTCGAGCTGTTTTGTAAGGAAGAATGGGCAAGAATTCCAGTCTCTCGATGTGCAAAACTGATAGAGACATACCCCAGGCGACTTGCAGCTGTAATTGCAGCAAAAGGTGGTGCTACAAAGTATTAGCGCAAGGGGGCCGAATAATATTGCACGCCCCACTTTTCAGTTTTTTTTTTTTTTTTTTTAAGTTTAAATTATCCAATAAATTTCGTTCCACTTCACGATTGTGTCCCACTTGTTGTTGATTCTTGAGAAAAAATATTTTTTTTATATCTTTATGTTTGAAGCCTGAAATGTGACGAAATGTTGAAAGGTTCAAGGGGGCCGAATACTTTCGCAAGGCACTGTACATATTGTTTATATTTGTCTATGGTGGTTCAAATGTAACTGACACTACTTTGAGTCACTCTTTCAACAAACACTAATGAATCACATTTACACAAATGTCTGCATAACATCAGTATTAGATTTGTTTTACCATGTTTCAGCGAGAAGCCAGGTTTGGTCCCACTTCCCATCTTTTGTTCCAGAACGACTTGAAACAGTGAGTAAATGTGCAATGTAAATACAATGTATCTCAAGATTTTTTTTTTTTTAAATTAGTAATATATATTCCATATTTATTTTTGGAATGAGATAAATGACTGAATTACTTAAAAAAAGAAATGCATATAGACTACTTGTTTTACTCTACTCTGAACAATGACAACAAGACAAAGTGTGTATTTATCATCACATTTATGACGCTTGTTTACAAATGAAATAAAACAGTGCTGAAGGTGATTATGAAGGATCTAAAATTAAGCTAATAAACGAAGATATTACAGAACAGGAGGCTCACAAGAGACAGAGCACTCATGTGGCTCCATCTACTGGTCACACAGAGATATTTCTGTACATCTGTAACCATGAGAGAGACTTATATATTGTATCTTTACAGAGATGATCAGGACATAATCTCACAATAAAAATACAGACATGGACCTGGGATCATCTCGGTACATTTCAGTCTTTGCTCTATTTTGTAAAATGCAAACGGACATATAGTAGATCTTGGAAGTGACATGATTCATTCAGATTTGTCTTTCATTTCATTCAATGCTTTCTTTCTTTTTAAATTAGTGAAGAGCAATGCAAAGTTTATGACATAAGTCGACACACAAACCATGCAGAAATCCCCCAGAACAAAGAACAGAATGGATGCTAAGTAGAGCGACCCGGCCACAGACACCCACGAGGCCAAGACCAGGAGGACTGCGGATCTGGGAGACGATGCTAAACCTGGGTCAAAACAAGCAAAAGATTAAAATATATATCTAACATTTATACATTTTAGGATAACTCATAATAGAGATAACTTTGTCATACGGCAGGCAATTGCAGATCTTGCTTGCAGTACATTTCTTTTTATAATTCTACCATAACACTGTAATTTGCAGAAAGAGAGACGAACCCAGTCCCAGTTGTAAAGAGTAGAATATGATGCCAAGCACACTGTTGGGCTGGTTCAGAGGGCTTTCCTGTCCCACAAAGATCTGGACCAACCCGAACCCACGTCCCCATCTGAAAACAGAACAGAGAAGAACGTTCATAATGATAATTTAATAATGCATCAGGTTTTATAGCGCTTTCTGGACACTCCAAGGCGCTTCACGTGTCAATAATGTTTCACTCCATACACAGTGGTGATAAAGTACTAATGTAGCCGCAGCTGCCCTGAGGCACACGGACAGAAGCGAGGCAACCAGTCTGTGCATCAACCCCTCCCATCACCACCACCCATTCACACACACACACCAGACTCGTTCTAATGTGGGTGAAGTGGCTTGCCGAAAGACACAGCCACAGCCGCCCCACTGTGGCACCTGGTGTACCCAGAGGTCTCCCATCACAACACTAACCAGGCATTGCCCTTCTTAGCTTGAGATGTCTGCAAGAGAACCTGGGTTTCACATTTCACATGCTAGTGACCCCACATTATTTTAACTTTATTAAATGCAAACAACTTATTCATTTCTTTAATACATCTTGAATAACAAAAAAACATATTAAAAAACAATTGGTGTTTTTTTTTTTTTTTTTACTGTTCTAAACCTACCTCGAAGTAAAGACCTTGGAGCAGCTTACATACTGTCCCAAATCACACATTGCTCTGTATTCTGGATTGTTTTCCTTGGAAAGCTCGACGTGGAGAGCGTAGATGGACAGAATGAACCCCAAAACGCAAAGTAGAATACGTGCTTTCCTCTCCCACGTAGGCAGCACCTGGACGTGATCTGCAGCCATATTACCTCCAACAAAAACCGACTTTGAATAGAAAAGATTAAGTCTAAATAGAGTCCAAACCGTGCACACCCCGCTGTCTTCGCTAACGTGTCCAAAATCTCACATAAGTGCGAGAAATTGCTTGGTCACTTTGGATTGGTCAATGAATGTTGTGAATGCTTCTGATTGGTGGATCGGCACAGCTGTTACGCCACAGCGACATAATGGACTTTATTCTGTGGTCATCTCCATGCACGGATCATGTATAAAAGTCTGCCCCAAAGAATCACAATTTTCATGGTTTAAAATATCTAAGTTTTATTGAAATATTATTATTTTTAATTCATGTTTTAATGTGAATAAGTGAGAAAGATGGTCACGTGTTACGAAATGAATCTTACTATATCAGGTATCTTCTAAAAGTAAGTTAAAACATAAAAGTAACCCAAAAAACCCCAAAAATAACGTTTTGGCCTTAAGTCCCACCTCCCACAAAAAGTGCGCCTCTAATTGGTCAGTCAGAGAACCACCTCCTCATCTGATTGGTTACTTTTTTGTGTCTTTCAAACAAGGCGGAACCGAACAAGGAAGTGATGGACAAAAACAAGAACGCTGTTATACAGGATTTATAACGACATCGCGTCATGTGGCTGGAATTCAAGGTAAAATCTATCATATTTCCATGTATCGTACTAGCGTTTATTTAATTTATTTTTCAAACTGGAGAACAAGATCTCAAGGAATAACAATACATGTTCATAGAAAGCCTTGTGTTCAGGTATCTCAGCCTACGCCCCTGCGACAAGTGTGGGATTTTAACTGTACCTCTACTAACAATTGCCATGTTTTTTTTCACTAAAAGGCGACAGAAACACGTAAACGTCTCCAATGTACAGGTGTGACGTAAACTTAACGGGATCGAGATGCACGGCTGGTCCATGGACTGCACTGCTGCACGCCCTTCTCTCCCCAGCACTGTAGCCTCAGCTTTTTATTATGACAATAACTATTCTTGATTTCTGCTACAGTTTAATCTGCTTCATGTGGCTTGCGTTGCATTTTACGTGGACATTACATTACAGTCATGAAAGTACCTAAACTGGATCTATAACCCAGTTCATCAAGCTGGATCCATTCTGCCCACTAGATGGCGGTGTGAGGAGAATGATGTCACGCCTCCTTTTGTCTTCTGTTGAGATTTATTTGAGATCTCTGGCCTTGTTCTTCAAAAGATGATCTGTCATTTGAACATTTTTATGACATTTCACTTATATTTTTATTGATCAATGTATTTATTTGGGTAGAGACAGTCAACAAGGGAAACACTACATCATTTATAGTGAAGGTCAATTTGCAAATCCTCATCCATACACCTTATCATACTGTGTGATTGTTGTATAGTTAAATTGTGCATTATTATTAGTCAAGGCAAGGGAAGTTTATCTGTAGAGCACATTTCATACACAAGTGCTTAAAAAAGATAGAAACACTCACACAAGGCCTTGTCTCACATTTTCTGGAAGACTGTTCCAGAATTTACCTGCAAATAATTCTATGAAAACAAGTATTGAAACAAGATACTATCTTTAGGATAAAAGATACAGTTTGTGATAAACTGTTTTAAGTGACAATTATTTATAAAGGTTTATTATCTATATCAAGCATTTATTGATTGTTCCAGATTTTAGCTGCATAAATCTGAAACGCTGCCTCCTCATGTTTAGTCCTGACTCTGGGAACCAGCAGGAGGCCAGTCCCTGTGCTCCTCAAAGTCCCAGCAGGAGGCCAGTCCCTGTGCTCCTCAAAGTCCCAGCAGGAGGCCAGTCCCTGCGCTCCTAAGAGTCCCAGCAGGAGGCCAGTCCCTGTGCTCCTCAAAGTCCCAGCAGGAGGCCAGTCCCTGTGCTCCTAAGAGTCCCAGCAGGAGGCCAGTCCCTGTGCTCCTCAAAGTCCCAGCAGGAGGCCAGTCCCTGCGCTCCTAAGAGTCCCAGCAGGAGGCTAGTCCCTGTGCTCCTCAGAGTCCCAGTATCACACACAAACACACACACGATTATCATTCTTGTGTGACTCCGAACCCCTCCCTGTCCATCTCACCCTCAATGCTACTGTACAGGAATTTGTATAAACTATGTAAATACTATGTAACTACTGTATATTTACTCCCCTATCACTGGGTGTAAAAAAAAAAAATTGCAAAGTCCCAGTATTATTATTCAAATCATTAAACGATGATATTCCTATATTCTCACAGAAACATGACATCTAAGGACGGAGGAAAAGAGGAGAATGTTCAAGCTAACGCCATGCCGCTCGAGAGAATGAACAAAAATGGAGAAAACACAACATGCAGCAGCACCGACAGCAGCACGACGGCGAAGAACCTGGCACTCCTCAAAGCACACTCTCTCGACGTGAAGTTTGACGTGGGCGAAGAGTATGACATCATTGAAACGATTGGGACCGGTGCATATGGGGTTGTTTCATCGGCCCGACGGCGGGACAACGGTGAGCAGGAAATGAGAGGCCGTTTTTTTGAGTTTATATTTATGATTTGTGATGGTGACAATGTGGTGTTTGTTTTACAGGTCAGCAGGTTGCGATCAAGAAAATCTCCAACGCTTTTGAAGTGGTGACAAACGCCAAGCGGACTTTACGAGAGCTGAAGATACTGAAACATTTTAAACATGATAATATAATTGCCATCAAAGACATTCTCCAGCCAAACCTCCCTCACTCTGCCTTCAAGTCTGTGTGAGTATTCTTTCACCAATATACAGGTATTCAATGTTCTCATTCCATGTTTGCCTCATACAAGATAAGTTGCATTGCTCAGGCCTGATCAGAAGGTTTATATCTTCACGGTGATAAAAGGAAATTAACCCAAACTGCAAAACATGGATTTAAATAAAATGTAATAAAAAAAAAGTGGGTGAAGGAATACACAAGATTTACATATGAGATGAAAGAGACACTGGTTTAACACATGAGGGCATCACACAACAGGAGGTTGTTGGTTCAACCCGCACAGAGGTAACAACATTTAAAATTTAATGTATCATGGCCATTAGAAAATGTGTCTTGGACTCACAGGTTACTAGATAGAAAATACACATAAGACAGACATACAACACAACACTAGCCTGGTCGTACCACACCATAGTACAAATTACATTTCCTACTAAGGTCTGGAGGTGCTCCATTGAGCTCCGTTAACAGATAGGAGGGGTTAACTCCTTTTGCAGATTGAAACGATTGGATCTGAGTTTACCATGACATATAATGCACCCGAGTGCGTCGTTAGCATTTAGCCTAGCTATCTCCTTTGCCGCTAACTGAGCCCGTGGCAAATGTTATCTTTGCCAGTGATAACATTTGCTAAACATCCCTCTTGCTCCGGCTTCAATTTCTCGACAGAACCAGACCGGATTACTTTACTGTCGCATTCTTTACCATTGCCAAACTACAACCTGCCCATTTGACGCAAACTCTTGACGTGACCCACAACTAACTACAACACCCGCCTTCCGCACTCGCTGATTGGTCAGATGGAATTCAACCGATTATAATCGCAAACACAGGGACCAGACCCAGACGTTACATGCAGTGAAATGATAATGAGCTTAGTTTACGGATGGATAAGGCCAGGCTAACACAACACAGTGACACAGTGAAACCATCACCGTTCTGATCCATGACCTGCACTCAGGAGGTTCACAGATACAGTATAGGGAGTAGGGATGCACCGATTGGGAGAGTTTGGGCCGACACTGATACCGATGTTTAATGTAACAACTTTGCCGATGGCCGATATTTTTTCTTTATTATCATTATTTATATACATTTCTTGGTGGCTTCAGTTTTCCATTTTACTTCAGCTTGCAAACAATCGCTGTACACCGCCACATGCTTGCTTCTCAAAACTCCAATGAGATTCGTTGTGTTAAATGATTTTCTAGCAGTCCCCCCTCTTGAAATCTCACTGGAACACGTATTGCAAACTGTCTTTTCTCAATCTTTTCTTATTTTTACTTGGTACTCTGTAGCGGCAACTAGATCTTGCGTGTTTTTATACATATTATTGCTGTTGTCTTGTTGTCAGCGTCTTGCTCTGTTTTTAGATTGTTGTCTTCTGTTGTGTTTTTTGTCAATTTTGTCACAATATGTAATAATTTATATAGATTTCTTTCTTGTATGTATTGTAACTAGTAGTTGTCACATGACCAGTATACATTCACGTGACTTGGACTTTAAAATGCAGCCATCTGTGTCCGGGCATTCTTGTGTCTGATGAAGCTCTCACACACCATCCATCCATCCATTTTCTACCCTTTAATCCATTTCTGGGTCAGGGGGGTGACAGTCAGAGATGCCACCCAAGTCTCATAGCACCAGCCCCTCACTGACCCTCTGCAGGTGGTGAGTCCACAGGAGGGCTCTCACACACACGTGGTCTGTAAATAAAACACACTTGAGAGCAACAGAGCCGTGCTGCTTAAGACAAACAACATTTATAGCAAATGCACATATACAAATAAGATAAATAATCACACTCAGAAATTCACAGCCCTCTATTGTTTTGCAGGTATGTGGTGCTCGACCTTATGGAAAGTGACTTGCATCAGATCATCCACTCTGGGCAGCCTTTGACCCCAGAGCACACGCGATACTTTCTCTACCAGCTCCTCCGTGGCCTTAAGTACGTGCATTCTGCCAACGTCATCCACCGCGACCTCAAACCCTCCAACCTTCTCGTTAATGAAAACTGCGAGTTAAAGATTGGCGACTTCGGCATGGCTCGCGGTCTCAGCACTCACCCGGAAGAGTCTCATTCTTTCATGACCGAATACGTGGCGACTCGCTGGTATCGTGCTCCCGAACTGCTTCTCTCTCTCAATCACTACACTCTGGCCATCGACTTGTGGTCCGTAGGCTGTATTTTTGCCGAGATGCTAGGGCGAAAGCAGCTGTTTCCGGGAAAGCACTACGTCCACCAGCTCCAGCTCATTCTGTCCGTGTTGGGGACCCCTCCTGAGGGTTTGATTGGTGCTATAAGGGCAGACCGGGTGCGATCCTACGTCCAGAGTCTTCCGTCACGCTCCGCTGTTCCCTTGGACAAACTGTACCCACAGACTGAACCCGAGGCATTGGACCTGTTGAGAGCCATGCTACGTTTTGATCCACGCGAGAGGATCAGCGTGACGCAAGCCCTGGAGCACCCATACCTCTCCAAGTACCATGACACTGACGACGAGCCAATCTGCGTGCCAGCGTTTGACTTTGAGTTTGATAAGCTCCCGATAAACAAAGAACAGATTAAAGAAGCCATTTTGATGGAAATTCAAGACTTTCACCGTAATAAAAAGGGCTGTCGTCAGAGGCTCCAGTTCAGGCCTTTGGTGAGGGTCAACGGTGGAGGTTCACATCCAGCTCACTGTGTTAACCAGCTCACCACTCAGGTCCCTACTGTCTCAGCAGATATGGTACCTACTGCACAACAAACCAACACTGTCACATCTCAGCAAGAGCAAGCACCAGCAAAAGAGAAGCCCACCTTTACCTTAAGCAAGCCCTGCTCTCTGTTAGAAGCAGCCTCCTCTCATGTGCAACATAACCTGCCTCTGCTCACAAAGGCTGAGAGTGGCCCAGTTGACGTGGACATGCCCAGTGCCAGCTCCGATAGCGGTCAACCAGAGACCATAGATCTGACCACGCCAGTGTCTAATCAGGAGGCTGCCCCAGAAACTATGAGAGACAATGAGACACCGGAGAGACTGGCCAGCAGCCAGACCTCTGTGACTCAGCCCTCCCAGAGCCAGTCCATGACCCAAGCCCCCTCCTCTATTTCTGCAGCGCCAGCATCAACACTTGGGACTGTACCCACGACTGTGCCTTCACTGTCTCTGACTGCAGCACAGGCACAATCTCTGTCCCAGTCTCTGTCACAGTCCCTGTCCAAAAACACCAGAAGTCTGACAAACGCAGAAGGAACCAGGAAAGAAGGGGCGATTTCAGAAGACACCAAAGCTGCACTTAAAGCAGCCATTTTGAAATCTGCTCTTAGAAATAAAGCCAGAGGTGGTGAGTCACATCTAAACTCTCTACTGTTAACAAATCATCATAGACTCACGCAATTTAGGTGTAGTTCATCACCATTATTCAATAGAAGGCCCACCAAGCAGTGGCATAATCATTTCTTTTGTTCAGACTCTAGGTCCACACTATTAATACAGACAGACACCTGAAGACGAGACTCACAAAAAGTATTCAGACGAGCTTATAAAAGACGGCTATACCAGTGTTTCCATAAAGGAGACTGGTCCCTCGCAGCATTAGACCTAGAGTTCAGCAGCGGATAAGAATGTAATAATAATGTAATAGTACATTATTTTATGAAATTCACAAAATGTCAAAATTCACCTGCCTTTCTGTTCGCTGTGTATTTAGAATGGTATTCTTGATAATGTATGGTATGGCTGATGTAATAATGTAAAGTATATGTTTGTTGGTTTCTGAATGTTTCACCCACAATACTAGTGTCAATTTCATATCATTATTACTCAATGAAGTCCATGCCTTTGGTCTTTTGCAGATGGAAGTTTACTGAGCACCGACACCGCTTCAGCAGGTGCGTCGTGCTCCTCGGCTCTCTCGGAGTCGCGGCGGCCCGTCACGGCTCAGGAACGCCAGCGAGAGCGGGAGGAGAAGAGAAGGAAGCGGCAGGAGCGCGCCAAAGAGCGGGAGAGGAAGCTGAAGGAGAAGGAGCGCCGGGAAGGGAAGCAGGGGGACTCTCTGGGCGGAGTCCTGCTCAGCGACAACGACAAAAGCCTCCTCCAGCGCTGGGCCAAGATGATAGACCGACGTGGAGAGAAACCCAACTGCACTGGAAACGAAGGGACGTCCAAAGACTGTAACATGAACTTTAACGTGACCATGAACGACAAGTCTCGAGCAGCACTGAACAAGCACGACACGGAGCATATGAAGATGCCACCTCACGATCAACTCACTCACGTCAAACCCAACCAGACTGTGATTTTCCAGCCGACGGGCGCGCAACAGCCTCCAATTATGTTCTCTATCGGGCAAAGCAAGCCCCAGACAGACATACTGGTCATCAGCGGAGGAATAGACCTGGTAACGGTCCCGGGATTTGTGAAAAACGGTCCGAATTTAGACTCGAGGCCACCGCAGCCGCAGAGAATAGTCCAGCCTCCTCCAGCCAGTTTTATCTCACCTCCAAATCAAACCCAGACAGAGGCAATAGATGGTTTCTTAAGCAAAGCGGCAAACGCAGGGGAAGCGAGTATAGGGCATAGGAAAATCGCCAATCGGAGTAGTATGTCCACGCAGTGCAATAGTTCGAATACAGACGTGGAGAAGCCGTGTCCGTCAGCGGGGGAGAAGGCAGGGTCTCAGTCGCACCAGCGCCTCGGGTTCACGGATACAGGCCAGCAGGGTCCACCGGCGGCTCCAGACATACACACAGTGACGCTCCAGCTTTCCAAGTCCCAGGTACGAACAGCTCTCGACACGGTCCTCACCGAAAAATACCGTTTTATTGCATCATCAAACTGCACTACAGACTCATGGTCCAGACATGTATACACACAACACATATAATCACAGCAGTAAGAGTCTCCCTCCTCAGAGCAAACGGCCGGACCAATGTCTCCACGGTTCAGGCTTAGGGTTATTATGTTCTGACTTTTATTGAGCCGACAGATGAAATTGTAAATCAGTTATTGCGAAGCTGCCTGAAATGTCCTTATTATTGCGGACACAAAGCACTTTTCCATCTGTTGTTTGCCACATTCAGTTTATAATTAGATGTGCTGGGTGTATTGCTAAATATGGTGGCACTGGTGTTAGCAAAAAGGTCCTGGGTTTGATTCCACCTCCAGGCCTTTCTGTGTGGAGTTTGCATGTTCTCCCAGTGTCAGGGTAAGTTTCCTCCAGGTGCTCAGATTTTTCCTACCATTAAAAACATGTACAGTAGGTCTGACATGCGCCTCCTGTGCTGTGTACAGGCGAGGAGTGAGACAAATGTCCACAACAGATGTGACTCTGGTCTGTATATAAATAAATAGTACCTACTGCAGTACAGAACGCTTTAAAGACTTTCTTGCCTCCACCGTAGAAGCACCAAACCTGCGCACACATAACACATTAACCTGACCAGACCTGAATACGTCCTCAGACTAGTCACACATAAAATGGCCTTAATATATATATTCTCATAGTTAGCTCAACGCCACAATTCAAAATGAGGAAGGTTTACATTTGTGTCCGCTTTCCTTCAAAATAGCATTCTTTTACTGGCATTAAACCTCACATCAAAATTTACACCACACTTAAAGCAGTCATTTGTTTTGCTTCTTCTTTGGTAAAGCTGACAGCCATTGTTCTTTGTTTGAAAATAGTATCACATTTTATATGCCGCTGCTAAATACTGTACCTTTGTGCAAATTACTGGTATAAGATGCAATACATTCTCAATTTGCCGCTATTATGTTGGATCTTGTAAATTGTGACCTGGGACTGTAAGTAGTTGGTAACTTGAAATCCATTTTAACATGTACGTTATGATTGTATTGTCAAGGACTACAGATGGAAAGTAGCATGGTTCTAAATCTAGTGCAGCCATCTTTTCAACCCTAGTCTGTTTTTGTTTTTTTAAGCTACATTTTTATGATTTTTCCTAACTTGATCTGAATCACTTAGATGAATTTAGGGTATTTTTCCTCTGCTTTTAATCACAGCGGTGGCAGGTCATTTAGACAACTGCACATTGTCCTGAATAAAGTAAACTCTAAACTCTCCTCAGGTGGAGGACGTGTTGCCACCGGTGTTCTCGGTGACGCCCAAAGGCAGCGGCGCGGGATACGGTGTGGGGTTCGACCTCGACGACCTGTTGAACCAGTCGCTCACAGATCTGCAACACTGCGACCGCGACAGGTGAGAACCCAGACAAAAACGCAAATTAAAAAAAAAACTTTATTCAAACACAATACACTATTTTTTTGACACATGTTTTTTTCTGTTGAAGTCACACACAGATAATTTGGCAGGAAAAGTACAAAATGTAAACTAAAAATCAACACAGGAAGGAGATGGTTAACACTGGTATACACGTGATTCTTCTCAATTTAAGCAAAGTCAAAGCCGGTACACAAATATATAATTTAAAAGAGGTTTAGTATGTATTGTATTTGTGCTACTTTTAAGTTAGAATTTGTCAGTATTTATATATTTTTCACATTAAAAACTGAAGTGACCTACTTTCGTTTCGGGACAACAGGAGTCTCGTTTTGGTAACATTTTGTGAACAAATCAGGCCAAATATTAAAAGAATGGTTTTAGAGCAAGGCACTAAGGATTATAATATGGTTCATGGACATTAATTAGTATTGTGGTGGTGTCAAAATGTTAAGAATATAAAATTGTACGCGGTTTGAGATGTTAAAAAAAAAATCAGATCTTTCCCACGCTAGTTATAGTCAGTAACCGTCTTGTGTTGTTCTGTTGATCCAGTTTTGACTCTGCGCCGCTGTCCGCCTCCCTCCTGTCGGACTGGAGCGAGGTTCACCGCATGACTCTGGCAGATCTGGAGTCTCTGCAGCAGGAGCTACAACTGGGCTCTCCCATGATCCTCTCTGACACCATCCCCCCTGACGCCTGATGCACTTCTACCATCGACAAAATGACAATGATCCACATGAAAACATGAACGAGACGACCCACTGATTGTCTACTTTGGAAATTAGCTCGTTTTTTTTCATCTTGTCTTGCCTAATAAAACATTTAACATCAACTGTGTCATCTGGGGACTTGAATTATGATTTTGGGATTAAAAAAAAGGTGTCTTCATAACATTACACTCAAAACACTACACATTTTTTCTATACAATTAGTATCAGCTAGGAATTGTTTCATGATTAGAGATTTGAAATGGATCTGTGTTTTGTATAAAAAAGGATAAATCTATCACTAATTCTCCCAAAGCTTCTAGAAACGATGATAGAGTTTGTGTTCATTATGGCTTTGTGTGCGTATCACTAAAATAGATTTGTCTGGTCTTCATTCGCCGGTGTGAGTCCACATACAAGTCAGGGTCTTATCTGTTGAGGATGTGGAGGAGAGCGAGGAGGCCGGAGAAGAGCACCAGTGTGTGTCCGGCGCACACATGGTCCCCTCTGCCGTACAGCTGCAGCTCTGGTACCGTGCGGTGCAGGAAGCTGGAGAAGCTGGTGAGTCTGGCGTAAACGCCCGGCTGGTTCTGATGAGCACAGCCCAGGCCAAAGCTCACCACCCCGGCCTGCACCCACGTCCCATTCACCATCTGGCACACCAGGGGGCCCCCAGAGTCACCCTGCGAGAGACACACAACATGAGGCACGACAGACACACACACACACACAACATGAAGCACGATAAACACACATAACATGAGACACATCTGACCTAGTGTTGACCAAAGTATCTAAACATAAATAGACATTAAACTAGAATCAAAACTAAACTCATTTGAGACAGTGTTGAGGATCTGGTCAAACTGAGATCCTCTGAGCTGCTTTTATGATTTTAATGGAACCTTTAAAACGTACCATTTTGTATTGTTAAAATGGCAGTTTTTATAATCTTTAATATTGAAACATGTATAATATCAGAGTCATATCGACACAGGTAGAGTACAAAATATGTTTCTTAATATCAGAGGGGATAAAACATGTTCTTTACTCTAGCGTTACTCTGCCCGCCCATTCCACTTTCTCCACTACTCGAGGAGCTAAAAACACAGAACACACACAGGCACTTCTAGAACAAACGGTTCTGAGAGCAGACTGTAACACAATCTTGAAACATAAGCCACCGATTCTGTCGTGCATCAATATTACAGTTCATACAAAAACGTGAAGTAAGTTTGAGAAGTTGTTTAATACCATTTTATTTATTACCATTTGTATACGTTTCTACAGTGTGTTTTTATTTGGTTTCAAATGTTGTCAATGTGTTGCACTTTGCGTTGCATTCAGTATGAACTATGCTATACAAATACATGTTGATTGATGGATGGATGTGGTACCTGGCAGGAGTCCTTGCCGCCCTTCTGGTACCCCGCACAGATCATGTCGTGCAGGATGTCGATCGTCTCCTTTTGGTTCAGGTTGTACATTTCCTGACAAAAACTCTGAGACAGGATTGGCACCTCCACTTCCTGCAGTTTTCCCGCCCCCTGGAGAGGAACTGCAGGTGGAAAGACAAAAAGACACATTACTTTATGTAAACACTTTAGTTATCAACAATCCTGGTTTCTTTTTCACTTCCATTAGCCGTGTTCAAAAAAAACACTTGCATTTGTCTGTGTTTGAGACTTCATTAAACTGTCACTAGATTCTGCACCATCTGCTGAATACTTGGAATATGACACCCTATACATTTAAATAAATAATTTACATGTGCCAAACTAGATCTAGCACCAACCCCAGGACTAGCTGGTCTTTAGCTGGCTTTTTTGGACCCTCAAAGACCCTTCACATGTCATTATTCTGTCACTCTATACACAGGGGTGGAAAACTACTTATGTAGCCACAGCTGCCTGGCACACTGACAGAAGCAAGGCAACCAGTCTGTGCCATTGGCCCCTCCCACCACCACCAACCGTTCACACACCAGACTCATTCTAGGCAATGTGGGTAAAGTGTATTGCCTAAGTACATACAGGTAACCACAGCTTGGCACTTTACAGCCGCCCCACTGTGGCACCTGGTGTTCCCAGAGGTTTACCATCACAGCACTAACCAGGCCCTGCCCTGCTTAGCTTCAGTAAACACACTAAACTCAACATTGATAAGTTTATAAGTGGAACAATATAACGACTAAAGATCTTGACAGAATAGGTGCAATAGGACCTCCTCACCATTGTCTCGGATGTTGCCCCAGCCTGTCACGTAGCACAGCATGCCGCTGGGAAAGAGCGTCCCGGAGGCGGGGAGGCACACGGGGTGCACATAGTCCGACCAGGTGACCGGGGTTGCCAGCTGAACCAGAGCCACATCCAGACCACCGTGAGGCTCCGTGTAACCATCAGGAATCACAACCCGACGCAGTTCATGGGAAGACTCGTGACTGTTGTAGCTGTTGACCTGGTAGCGACCGGCATATATGGTGTGGGAGCTCAAATCTGACGGACTGAAGAAGAAAACAAAAAAACAACTACATTTAGAACTTGTTTGACTGGAGAGAAATGGATCTAAAAAAATGTGAAACTCAAATCCCAGTCTTAGAGATAAGGACTTAAGTATGAGGGAGTGACTATTGTTATTGTGACACAGACATTCTTTTACGGAGGGGAGCCTTACTTTGGGAAACAGTGTGCAGCCGAGAGGACCCAGTCTGCAGTAATCAAAGAGCCTCCACAGATGTGACCGTTCGCTGATGTCTGGAGGAGAAACAACACTTCATCATACATGTTGGATTGGATTATGCTAAATAACTCTAATTATCAAAGTTTCAGTTTTGTGCAACGTGTTTCCATTGTTTGTTATATGACAGGGGTGTTCGAACTTTTAGTAAGAGGGCAGCAGTAGTTCGCCAGACGTTTCCAGGGGCTGACAACATGTAAAACTGTTTTGACTACATTTGGGTGGATCTGGGCTTTATATATCACACTACAGCTACATACCGATTCCAAAGGTTCTGAGATTAACAACGAGGTATAGCATGACTTATTGGTGAAGTTGAAGTTGGCTGGATGACGCTATTAAAACAAGGAAGGACCCAAAAGCAGAAAAGCTAAATACAACCTAATAAATCCCACAAGAAAAATAAATCCAAAGAATTAAAGAAACCAGCAAAAGGGCCACATAAAACGACAAAGCGGGCCGCATTTGGCCCACGGGCCTGAGTTGGGACATGCCTGTTATAAGAGAATCTGTACAATGTGTCAGGAAATGTATCTTGCATAACATTTGATTGTCAAAGTTTTTGGCTTTGTTATACAAGAATTTGTCACATAAACATTTCCTTAGTAGGTGAGCTAAGATCTAATAATTATGATGACAGAAGAAGTCGAGTCTCACCCGTACGCCCGCGTCTCACCCGTAGGCCCGCCCGCGTCTCACCCGTAGGCCCGCCCGAGTCTCACCCGCCGGCCCGCCCGCGTCTCACCCGTAGGCCCGCCCGAGTCTCACCCGCGCGTCCGCCCAAGTCTCACCCGCGCGTCCGCCCGAGTCTCACCCGTACACCCGCCCGAGTCTCACCCGTATGCCCGCCCGAGTCTCACCCGCACGCCCGCCCGAGTCTCACCCGCGCGTCCGCCCGAGTCTCACCCGTACACCCGCCCGAGTCTCACCCGTATGCCCGCCCGAGTCTCACCCGCACGCCCGCCCGAGTCTCACCCGCGCGTCCGCCCGAGTCTCACCCGTACACCTGCCCGAGTCTCACCCGTATGCCCGCCCGAGTCTCACCCGCACGCCCGCCCGAGTCTCACCCGCGCGTCCGCCCGAGTCTCACCCGTACACCTGCCCGAGTCTCACCCGTACGCCCGCCCGAGTCTCACCCGTATGCCCGCCCGAGTCTCACCCGTACGCCCGCCCGAGTCTCACTCGTGCGCCCGCCCGAGTCTCACCCGTACGCCCGCCCGAGTCTCACTTGTACGCCCGCCCGAGTCTCACCTGTATGTCCACCTGCCAGGGCCACTTCCCCTCTGTGGCGTCTGACCCTCCCACGATCCTGTTCTCGGCAACAGGTGGTCGGCCACAACCCTGAGCAGAAGCCAACGAAAAACCTGAAATTCAAGACATTAGAGTAGTTAATGTCATGCAACCAGAGACAACACAGCCTTCATAGTACACACAGTCTTCTACAGGGTTAACACAGAATTTGACACATGGTACACACAATCTGCTACATGTTTACCACAGAATTTGCCACATGGTACACGGAATCTGGTACATGGTACACACAATCTGCTACATGGTACACACAGGATATGATACATACACACAAAATCTGCTACATGGTACACCGTTTTCTACACAGTTTTATTCTTCAAAATAATCAAAGACAAGACAAGAGGTGAAGGCATATAAAGAGACATAAAATACAAGGAGAGAAAGGGGAAAAGTAAAAATATGACGCACCTGAAATGACCCACGTCACGATCAGAAACGCAGACTTCCAAACTTCTGCCATGTTAGAACTATAACAGGACCCCTTTGTCTCAGGACCAGCGTCAGACAGCAGGACCGACGGAAAGCCTCGGCTGGAGCTCTTGTTACAAATATAAATATATAATCCACTTCGCAGATGTAAATCCAGCTCGTTGCGGTGAAGGGAAGCTGAACAAAGGGCCGTGTAACTATCCGTGTCTGAACAAACGGGAAGAGAAAGAATCTGTTCAGGGAATCAGCAGCCTCTACCTGCGCTCACCTTTGTCCAATCAGAGCGTTTGTCCCGCCCCCTCGGCACATGCAGCCAATAGCATTTAAAATAGTTTTTTGGGTTTTGCTTAGACGTCTTTACCATTGATAGACTGTGGCCCCGTCCCAATACTCGCACTTCCACCCTCGCGCCCCTCATTTGCACGTTCCCGATAAAGGGTGCGAGTGCGTAGGGTGTCCCAATTCTCCAGGGGGGTCTTTGGCCCCGCCCCCTTTGCGCCCCTGATCCACACTTCGCCGTAGCCTGCATCTATCAATACATAGTTCCCACATGACGTCACTACATACGGGGATTTGCCGACCCGGCGCCATTTGTGTTGGCATGCTGTGGGCAAAACAATAGAAAAAGAAGCTGAAACGTGTTAATGTCGTGATAAAGTTGAAAATGGTCATCTCCTGCTGGGTCAATGGATGTTCAAATCGTGCCGGAGGTTCCGTTAAACTTGGATTTTACAGTATACCCATCATTAGACTTCATGAATGTGAGAAGACTAAGCTTTTGTCAGAACAACCACGGAGGTTATGGCTTGCGAAGATAAACAGGCAAGAAACTCCCTCAAAACACGCAAGAATATGCTCGGAGCACTTTGTGTCAGGTGCGTATCGTATCTTATAATGTGTTGACAGACGTAATTTACTCAGTACTAACTTGTGTATGCTGATATCTGGTAACTTGAGAGTTTCATTATTTAGATTACTTTATTATGAGGAGGATCGGTGTCGCGTCCGAGGCTCTCGAGGGCAACGTAAATGTATTAAATAGATAATAATAGTTCTATGGTGGGCTAAAACAATGTTCACAAACAGCATTGCTTCTGTAAAAAGATCTGTGTCATAAAATAAACTGCTCTTTACGCCTGGAAAAATCAGTTGCCCACCATTCACCAAAACATACGGTCAAAAACGCGGAAATAAACAATAACAGCAATCCAGAGTGTCCGTGTGGCATTAGCATTAATTAAATTAATTGTTAATATAATTAAAATAATTAAATGGAGCTCCAACTGGTATTAAATCTAAAGTTTTTGAGAAATGTTTGCATTGCTTGTTAATTTTTGCTGCATAATTTGATCAAATATGTAAAACATGTCCGTAGCACGTTAAACTGTGGTGCCATTGTATTAATATACAATTATTTGCTCAAAAGTTGCCCTTTTTTCCAATTTGCGTTTGAATATCTACATTTATTCTCATTCTTATGTTTAATGGAATGCACAAACACAGCAGCGTGCCATCAAAGATGGCGTCTCCGAGGAGGTCATGTGACATTCATTGGTCTGTGGGAACTATGTATACATCCATGGCATCTATGCACACTCTGGCGAAGGATATTGCCCATAATTATTTGCGCTACACACCAAAACGACGGGAAAATGCAATTAAATATACATTTTGAAATATATATGCAGTATGTGTGTAAATAAGTTTTGCTATGTTACTTGGAAAGAAGCATAAACGTCTGATGAAGAATTACGGACATTGTGTTTTAACAATTTAATAACTTTTAAAGCAAGCGTTTATATAACATTCAATTTAAACTTTACACTTAGTACAATAATCTTAGAATGTATAAAAACTGACCAGATAGTTAGTTACCCACATTTAACTTAAAATTATACCGCTATCTCTAATTAAAAACAACTAATATAAATGTATTATAACGTGTGTGAAGCAATTCATATTGTTTCCCAAAGGGTCAGACAAAATTACCTTTAATTTTTATAAAGTTTAGGTCTGAAAATGACCATCTCTTGACGAGTCGATGACGTAAACTGCACTCAGTGTGCACTGTCCCAATTCCACCTTTTGTGCACGCTTGCAACCTGCGCACTCAAACCCTTGCGCGCACTTCAAACAAATGCACACTTCATAGGAGGGCGTAGGGTGCAGTGTGGGTATTGGGACTGGGCCTGTAAAAATATTCAAGAGTCACATGCGCAGGTGCGGTTTCCTTTGATATATTTTCCATTTTCAAACCAATGGAATCCCGAGAAAAAAGTTTTCCCATTTTTATTTTCATTTTTTCATTTTTCTTTTTGAATCTTATCTCACGTTTTAAGACCCGATACTGGTTAATATTACTTGGAATACAGAAAAAAAAAAAAAAATAATAATAATAATAAAACTGTTTGTTAAAAATCTACTAAATGCTATCTGCTGGCTAGTAAACAGTGTGTTGCTATGGTAACATACGGTAACTAACTTCTCACTGAGATATTTTCATAAAAATAATGGCGCAGAACAAAACTACGTATAGAGACAGAAAAAGTCACAGTTGTGAAGACTAAACATTGACAAAAGCTGAGTAATTGCACTAAAAGCCGTCAAATTGACTGCTCTGGGAGTTCAAGTGTTAAATATTTCTTCTTGCGTCAGGGTCGACTGTGACGTTCTCTGCATTTTGTGTTTGGTTTGTACCACACACATTTGTCCTCTGTGATGTATAAATTTAATTAGACTTATGTTTCATTTGCAAAATCAGATAAGTACCATTAGACTTACAAACTGCCCTTTTTTAGTACCATACAATTAAAATGTCACCCTTCTTTGAGTAAATACTTTTAAATATACTGGTAATAACAAGACATAATGACTGTTGCAAGAGATTAAGATTCAAGATTAACAGATCCTTTATTAGTCCCACAGTGAGGAATTGTCAGTGTTGCAGCAGTTACAGAACAGGAATGAGGAGCAAACAACACAAGATAAGTGAACAATACACAAACATTAAATTATATCTCTGACTTTAGCATAAGAGGACACTTATTTTGACAAATAAAATAAAGCATATTCCAGTTTTTGCAGATGAACTCGTTATTTGTCCATGTTGATGAGAGGTCTTGTTAGATTTACAACGCTCTATTCTACCTCATTTCTTAGATGTGAGGTGGATAAACCTAAACCAGTCAGATCCAGATCCTGAGCCTCAGCGGCCTGTGTCCTTCTACACAAACAGTGATCTCAGCTTTAAACTGGTTTCCCTGTTCCTCCCTCACAGACGTGTTTGTATTTACACACACCCCATAAATGCTGTGGGATTCTTGCCCAAGGCTCCGATAAAAACAGGAAGAACCAGAAACACGTCCAGGGAAAAGCAGTTTGTTTCATGGAAGTGTCGTGTCAGAGCCCAGCCCACAAATGTAACATCACTGAATCACAGATGTTTGATCAGTCAGATTAGACCAAGGCTAATATTTACTTTGTGATTTAAGTACTGGGACCTTTTCATGTCTGATGTAGAGAGTGAAGATAGATTGACAACATACCACAGTTTACGTTCATAATATTCTCAGGCCTATTTCTTTCTGGAAGTCTGGACTGACATTTTATATGGTAGAATATTCACTGTTTTGTCAATCAAAATACATATAATTGATTAAACTGGTCATGATCTGATCTATTGATAAATATTTGTTTTTGATATAAATCTCTTGACCCCGTTTTAAACTTACTGTAGATGCTCCCTCTCTTGGGGCGTCCATCAATAATGAAAGCTGGGGTTGTGTGGGGAACCTTGTATCTGCAAACGTCCAGTAACTCTGAGTTGTATATTTATGTTAAATGATCTTTATCCCAGACCCATTATCGTTATCAGGGGAAATGAAAAGGCCCCACCTGATCCACGCCAGAATAAGACCAAGGACCACTTCAGGGTGAGCTAAAAGTGCCAACCATTATGCCACGGTGTCACTAGGGCCACCTTAATGTGCCCATAGCCCTAGGGTTTAGGGTTGTAGGCCCTCCCCTCAACACCAGCTCTGCAAACCACACAAAACCCTTTATTCTGATACATCTACATCCATCAAAATACATGTTAAACAGCTTTTTGCATTGTGTCAAAATCTCAATCTTTATTCACCAAAAAACAACAATCTCTTACAAGCAACAAGCATATTTTCAGCAATATAGCAGAAATAATATCAATTTAATGTATTCTTGTATACCTGTAGCCCTAACACACATAGAGCCATTGTTTCATTAGGGGCAGATGACCAATGTTCATTTATCAAGTGAACTGATTGACAAAAAATATCTACAAATTGACTTTTTTTTAGTTTGTTCCATTAATTCTAACATGACAGGCCTTAGACTGTGGCATGGTGGAGTAGACAAACTTGTTTCCTCCTCAAATCAAAGCAAATTCCTAGTTTGTGACTTCCTGTTACTTACACTGGCAATGAAATAAAATCTGATTCTGACTCTGACTCTGGTTCTGGTTCTGGTTCTGTCGGCCCCTGGGCTCCGGTCCTTGCGAGCCCGTTGGATAAAGCACCTATGTGTGTCACTGTGTTGTTGATTATCATAGAACTTTTTTGTTTACAACCCGACCCGGAAAACGTATTGTGTATTGTGTACTGTGCTGTGTAATACATCTCTGTGGATACTTATGTCTGTCCATAACGCTTGCCTGTCTCCCCCCACCCCCTCTCCCCCCCCCCCTCCCCTCCCCTCCCCTCCCCTCCTCTCCCACTCCTCGCCCCAGGCACTGTGTCTAGTTTCACAGAGCAATTGAAGGTGACAGGGACAGAGAGCGGCGGAGGGAGGCGGAGGGACACGGGGAGGACACATCACAGTATCGCCCGCGGCCACAAACAGCAGAAGAAGAGCCGCAGCCGATGGAGACAAAAAGAACCAAAACCTCAGATCAGAGAGTCCGAGTCTGAGTCTGAGGTATAAACAGGTGAATTAAGTCTGCCTTGTGGTCTCGCCGGGTCTGTTTGTGCAGCGTTTCAGCCCGAGGTCACCATCAGGTTCTGCTCCCGTTTGACGCCCGATGGGGGTGTCTCTTGTGCGTGACCAGAACCACCCCTAACGCCCTCCTCACCTCCTCCTCCTCCTCCTCCTCCTCCTTAACCCTCTCAGTCATAATATATGAACGCATTACAGGCTGCAGCCCTATAAGAGCAATTATAATGCTCTGCCGTTTGTTTTTATTTTAACAACTTGATGAATATTTGTCGTGGCATCGTAACCATGGTGACTGCCTGCCTCCCTCCCTCCCTCCTCCTCTCTCCGCCCCCTCCAGCGCTGGAAAAAAAGCAAAGGGAGGGAGAGGGATGGCCAGAGAGGAAGAGAGAAAGAGAAAGAGAGAGAGAGAGGTGACAGGAATGAACTAACAAGATGCACTATATAAAACAAGAGAGAGGGAGAGAGAGAGAGAGAGAGAGAGAGAGAGAGAGAGAGAGAGAAAAAGCCATGTCCTGGAGCTACATGAATCTTTGGAGCGATGCACGCGTCGGCAAACATAGCGGCTTTGGCATGCGTGTGTGGGGAGGGGGGGAGGGCGGGGGAGGCAGGGGAGAGGGGGGGGGGGGGGGGGGGCAGACCGGGGAGCACATAGGTTAAGCCACATTCACACGACTCCTGCATAAAGAGACGTAATCAGGATTTGGGAGGAAAACAAAAGAGAAAGAAAAGTGCAGGAAGTGGAGCAATGTGTCGGCTTTGTTTGTAAGTTTTAACTCAGAAGGAAATAAAGGAGATACTTTGATTGTGATTGTTTTGATTGTTGATTAAGGTTGTCAAAAGTAGCACAAATTAGATACGAATGGATAAGGAGAGGTAAGTTTAATTGTATGGCACACACTGGCAACAAAAAGGGCTTAACAGAACGACAAAAGAAGAAACAGAGAAAGCACAGCCAAACGGATTTGCTTTAAACCTGGATTTGAACAATGTCAGAGAAGAAGTCTGTCTCATATTTTTCGGAAGACTGTTCAAGAATTTAAGTATTGAAACTAGACGCATCTTGAGGATTCAATTTGTCATTTCTCGGAACAGTATCGGATGAACTTGTGTTAAACTGTTTGGCCTTGTTTGAGTTGAAAATGAAAGTTTATTGTCTGAAGTTTAGCATTTATCGCTAATCACAGTGGTATAGAATTTAGTATAGAGCATGGAGTATTTTTAATAATATCAAAATAGCGTTTAAAATGTATTATTATGACAGCTCTATTGTAATATTCATACTAATATAATACTCTAAAGGGAAAAACCGGGATTCTGGCTTTTGTAGATTTTTATCAATGCTAAAAACAATAGCGTTTTTTTTTTTTTTCCATAAATGTCATGTATGATGTGTGTCCCAAACACATTACTGCATTATTTGATTTTATGTATTCATTTATTCTTCGTATCGACTCGAGGCGACACAAAAGCTGCATGAATTTGAATGAATAAATGAGATTTTTGAGACGGACATTTCAATTTGACAACATTTTCATTACCGTGACAACAACAATAAGACAGCACAATACTCAGTAAGATCAGACAGGCCTTTTCTATGTGCAGATTATCAAACAGACTGGGACTAAAAGACTTGACTTTGAAACATATTTAACCCGAGATCATCTTTCTGACCTTCACAACAGCTCGGTCCATCCCACAGACAAACACACGCACTGAGCCCATGTCCATACCCCCTGTTGGTAAATAACATAAAGATTCAGGGAATACAGCTTCATTTAAGCTCTTGGTTCCGACATTTGCTCTGATCCTTGTCCTTCTAAAGCTGCTTCAAAACTGGAAACACACTGAGAGACAGACTTTTATTATCTGCAACAAGATTTGATGTTTGTGAATGAATTAGCGACGAAATGCTGTTTTCCCAATTTGTGGTCAAGAAAACTGTGATTTTGATTTGATTGGAATGAATCCTGCGGTTCTCGTCATGTGAGTTCTTTCAATATCTTTAATAACTGACTTTTACTTGAAAATGTGAAATGACTGAAAACAAAAACTAAAATACAACAATATTTATGTAATTAAACGATGATACTTTTGCATGTTTTTACAGTGATTGGGTCTTTTCAGTATGAAGCCCTCGACACATGTTGTAAACGACACACTATATTTTGTCGCTGATGTCGGGCCAATATTTTGACAACGTTTTTGAAATATCAGACTTAAACCTCGTCCCATCCGACTCTAATATTCTACGTTGGCTTTTTGTAGTTACATCAAAAAACAGGGAAATTACATCTGTGCTACAATCGCAAAACGCTAATAATTCATAAAAACTAATCGGTCTGTACTCAGGCTTCTTTACCTTTAGTCCAGTTCTGATTCAATCCAAGAAATACTACACTGTCAAATATTTAATAAATGATAATAATTATAATTCAACAAATAATCACCAAAGCAAGAGACGAGCTAAAAACCAAACTAAAATGCTGGATGTTAATGTCAGTATCTGGAAGTCACGGTCGAGGAACTTTCTTTGGTTCATTTGCAAACAAGTTAGAAAAAAAAAAAAACAAAAAAAAAAAACATTAAAAAAAGATATAAAGTAATTTGATAATAATTTTTAATAATAAACACAGTAGACACATCCTCAGTATCAGAGTCCGTAAAGACAGGATGATAATAACCTTTGATAAAAAGTAAAACATGTAAAATAAAATTGTTTTATTGGTCAATAACATGAACGGGAAGTAACGGGGTTCGGAATTATATAAACGTTTGCTTCTTTCAATCCCAAAACTCTCTGTTAATATGCTGTTTTGTTCTATAAAAATGTGTTGTACAGGGTCTAAAGTCAGACTCTGAGGAGCACAGGGACTGGCCTCCTGCTGGGACTCTGAGGAGCACAGGGACTGGCCTGTAGTGACCAGAGTCAGGACTAAACATGAGGAGGCTGCATTTCAGATTCATGCTGCTAGAATCTGGAAGTCTTCCTGAAAATGTGAGACAGGCTCCTACTCTGACAATGTAGACATCCAGGTGTTAGCTGTGCATACATCTGAGGGATTCTTTATTTTCAATGTATTGTGATTTTTCATGATTTTAACGCCTTGTGTTCAGCACTTTGAGTTGCCCTGTGTATGAATTGTGCTATACAAAAAAACTTGCCTTGATTGATATTTTCCACTGTTTTTTCTTTGAGTTTACAATAACATAATCTTGTTTTTTAACATGTATTTTTATGTATGTTATACTATATATTTTTTCTTCTCATCTTTAGTGCCTGTGAAGCACTCTGCATGGGCCGTTGGTGTCCATAGATGCGCTATACATATAAATCTGACACTAACATCTACATCTTCTCTTCTCTGTCATGAACCAAGTCACCACAACAGAACAAGGCACCATAAAAAAAAAACGAAATAAAAAAAATTACTTTCCAGAACCATTTCTCTCCCAAAGTAAAGAGAGAAAGAACGGAGAAGAATCGTGCCTGGTCTATACCTTTTGAACTTGTCATGTCTTTCCTTTCTCTTTCTTCCAGGCACATCTCGGAGGAAACTAAAGAGAGAAGCAGAGGTGGAGGGGCAGAAGAATAGGCGAGCATGAACGAGAGAGGGAGCGACAGAGAGAAAGGGAGCGCAAAGTCTTGTCAACCGGAAATAAAACAAGCTGGCACCCTCCCCATCCCCAAAGTCACACACTTGCTCCTCTCTCCTCCTTCCTCCAACACAAATACATTTCAAGTAACGGGGCCCCTGCGTGTAAGCATCTGCGTCATTCTGTGCGTTTGGCCCCGTCACACCGGCCCCAAAAACTCTGCCCTGAGCTGCAGCTGTAGGGAAGAAGGTGAACTGTAGATAAACGGCAAGAAATGGTCACATATGAGGTGATAAATGCTTGAATTTAGTGTTTTAAAAAAAGATTTAGACAGATTTAAATGATCCTCAAGGGAAAATTGCGTAGTCACAGTATATCTCGCATAGTATTTCACAATAAAAATCTGAAAATAAGAATAATAATTGTGAGAATATTGTGAGAATGGAATAATCTGGATATAGGGACTCGGAAATATACATGTCTGTGAATATGTACACAATTACAGTATAAAGTATTCAGTATTGAGTTCATTCTTACTCTTAAAACCAAATTTTCCAACAGGACAAAGCCATTTAAACTTATTTCAAGAACTGTTGCTTTATTTTCTCATTCCAAGAGAGACATTTCTGGTATCCTTTTAAAACAATATCATTTTGCTTTGTCCCATCGGCAAATCTTGTAATGAGCTCAAAACAAGAAATATTTTTCCAGATTTGAGCAATTTTTCATCAGTTTTTGCAGTGTACAGTGAGACAATAGAAATGAATGAACTAATGATTTCTGATTCACACGTCGGACGTTATTCAAGATCTGTCTGTCAAACTATTTCTAATCTCAAGCTAGACCCAAACATAGGTCGCAAAAGTAAAACTCTTTCCTCAACGCTAACTACAAGGAGAATATTACATTTATTATTATTATTATTGAATTATTTTTATTGAATTCGAGTGAGACAAGTGCAGCTGTTTATAGTTAGCTTCTGAAAGATATTTATTATGTTTCACGTTAACCTCTCTAAAGTGTAGGCTTTTACCTTTACCATGAGCTAAAGCTGGGGTACCTGACTTTCAAACCACAAATGGAACTAATAATAAAGAAAATCTATTAAAATCCATCATTTTCAGAAGCATGTATTTTGGTTCTCGCACGACTGTCGCATCTGTAGATCCACTTTCTCAGACAGGAAAGTGAAAAAAAAAAACAGGAACTCCCTCAGCCAATCAGGTCGCAGCCCGAAGTAGTCAAAAAGTGACTCACAGAAGATAAAAGTTTGCAAAAGACTTTTACAGGATTCTTTCTGCTTTAATGGTCCTTTGTCAATATTGACGAGAGAGAGATATACAGTGCCTTGCGAAAGTATTCGGCCCCCTTGGACCTTTCAACATTTTGCCACATTTCAGGCTTCAAACATAAAGATATAAAAATTATTTTTTTTTGTCAAGAATCAACAACAAGTGGGACACAATCGTGAAGTGGAACAAAATTTATTGGATGATTTAAATTTTTTTAACAAATAAAAAACTGAAAAGTGGGGCGTGCAATATTATTCGGCCCCCTTGCGCTAATACTTTGTAGCGCCACCTTTTGCTGCAATTACAGCTGCAAGTCGCTTGGGGTATGTCGCTATCAGTTTTGCACATCGAGAGACTGGAATTCTTTCCCATTCTTCCTTGCAAACAGCTCGAGCTCAGTGAGGTTGGATGGAGAGCGTTTGTGAACAGCAGTCTTCAGCTCTTTCCACAGATTCTCGATTGGATTCAGGTCTGAACTTTGACTTGGCCATTCTAACACCTGGATACGTCTATTTGTGAACCATTCCATTGTAGATTTGGCTTTATGTTTTGGATCATTGTCCTGTTGGAAGATAAATCTCCGTCCCAGTCTCAGGTCATTTGCAGACTCCAACAGGTTTTCTTCCAGAATGGTCCTGTATTTGGCTCCATCCATCTTCCCATCAATTTTAGCCATCTTCCCTGTCCCTGCTGAAGAAAAGCAGGCCCAAACCATGATGCTGCCACCACCATGTTTGACAGTGGGGATGGTGTGTTCAGGGTGATGAGCTGTGTTGCTTTTACGCCAAACATATCGTTTTGCATTGTGGCCAAAAAGTTTGATTTTGGTTTCATCTGACCAAAGCACCTTCTTCCACATGTTTGGTGTGTCTCCCAGGTGGCTTGTGGCTAACTTTAAACGAGACTTTTTATGGATATCTTTGAGAAATGGCTTTCTTCTTGCCACTCTTCCATAAAGGCCAGATTTGTGCAGTGCACGACTGATTGTTGTCCTATGGACAGACTCTCCCACCTCAGCTGTAGTTATCTGCAGTTCATCCAGAGTGATCATGGGCCTCTTGACTGCATCTCTGATCAGTCTTCTCCTTGTTTGAGATGAAAGTTTGGAGGGACGGCCGGGTCTTGGTAGATTTGCAGTGGTCTGATACTCTGAAGTATCAGATTTGCAGTGGTCTGATACTTCCATTTCAATATAATTGCTTGCACAGTGCTCCTTGAGATGTTTAAAGCTTGGGAAATCTTTTTGTATCCAAATCCGGCTTTAAACATCTCCACAACAGTATCTCGGACCTGCCTGGTGTGTTCCTTTGTCTTCATGGTTCTCTCTGCGCTTTAAACAGAACCCTGAGACTATCAAAGAGCAGGTGCATTTATACGGAGACTTGATTACACACAGGTGCATTCTATTTATCATCATCAGTCATTTAGGACAACATTGGATCATTCAAAGATCCTCACTGAACTTCTGGACTGAGTTTGCTGCACTGAAAGTAAAGGGGTCGAATAATATTGCACGCCCCACTTTTCAGTTTTTTATTTGTTAAAAAAGTTTAAATTATCCAATAAATTTCGTTTCCACTTCACGATTGTGTCCCACTTATTGTTGATTCATGACAAAAAATATTTTTTTATATCTTTATGTTTGAAGCCTGAAATGTGGCAAGGCACTGTAGTTAGATAATAATATAATAATAACAGGTGTTAATATAAAGGTTTAGTTTTATCTTGTGACAAAAAGTGAGGAACCAGTGATGAAATCTTGAATCAGGATTTTTTTACAGTTGAGAAAATCCTTTGTCCTGAGGTGAATATTAAATCTGAAGCACATACAACAACATCAACATTTATTTATATAGCACAGTCCATACAGAATTGACAAAGACAACATTAAAACCAAATAAAAACACGCAGTAACAACACAAACAAATGGGACTTAAAATACTAAAACAACCCATTTTTCATTAACAAAAATACTCTTGTAAAAGTACATGTTGAGAACCAATCAGATGACAGCAACACCGCCTTCATCTCAAGAGAAAACATATCTCTTGAACAATTGCGATAAAGAACCTCGTGAGTCACTATTTGAGCCTTTGGGCTGTGATTGGCCGAATGAGAATGGTCCTGTCGTTTTCACGTCTGAAATGTGTGTGAAAATCTGTGATGGAAGCAACCTGTGTTTAGAGAGCGAGGAAGTATAAGTTTGGATAGATCTATAGTCTGTGGTTTGAAAACAGGGCACGCAGCTTTAATGTGTGGTTCGCAGCTGTATAACATTGAATCCATCATGTATTTATCATCTGTGATCTCTCCATTATCCGTGCTTTCTGCTCGGCTGTGGCGGCCTCCCCTCCTCCTCCTCGTGCTGGCATTAAGTTCAAACTTGACACTGATGTTGACTCACTTTGTCACCCCTCGGTGGCTCTCCTCTTCCACCGTCCCTCTCTCTCTCTCCCTCTCTCTCTCCCTCTCTCTCTCTCTCCATCGCTCCGAGGACAAGAGTGCCCGCAGACGCATTTCTCTCCAGAGCCACCCCCCACCACCACCACCCCCCCCCCCCCCACTCTCCCCTCTCTCTCTCTCTCTCACCCTGTCCAAACTCCCTCCATCTACACTCTCCTTTACACACAGCACTGTCAACAAAGCTGGAGAACAAGGCACCAACGGAGATCCAGGCAAACCAGGTCCAAGGAGAAAGGAGATCGGAACGAGACCGGACCTGGCGTCAACACACCTGCAGAGTTGGTGAGTTGAGCGACACACACATTTTTCCCCAATATTCCTTCAAGATTCCCACATGTCCTTTCCCGCGATGAGCAAATCTGAACTTGTAGATGGGTAAAGTTGCAGGAAGTGTAGGAAGCAAAATCAAAGTGGGAACGGCCTTCATTGATTGGCTTTGAACGAGAAGAAACCTTTGACATTGTGTTGGGGCGCCTCTACACTTGCTCCCGCTGCGTAAAACAATCACAAAGATACAAATTTGCGTATGGAACGTCAGAACAAAGACGAATTGTGATATTCTTGGTTCATTTTTGAGATTGTTCCGCCGCTTATGCACTTGATGCCAGTTTGCGTTTATCTTCCACTGCCTCCTCATGCGTACGTGTGTGTTGGGGCGCAGTTTTTTTTTTTTCTCTCAACAAGCCAAAGACTAGAGCTAAAAGCAACTAGCATAATAAATGGCATTGCTTTCAGAGAGGGTTCTAATGTACCCTCTCTCCCAATGGTATACTAGCATACCAATGTATAACACACACACGTTACGACAGCGCCCTTGTAACTAACCCCATATCTGTCTGTCATGGTGAGGCTAATTCACCACAATGCCAACCATGTGTGAACTCATGCGATATGGACCCCCACCTCTCTTTCTTTCTCTATCTCTCTTTCTCTCCCCCCTTCAGCGGCACCACGGAAGACGGGGGGCAGAGGAGCGCAGAGCCAAAGGTGACACCGGGTGGGGCGATCGGGTCTTCAAGCTGGTTCAGACCCCCGGAGTATGTATGAGAAGTTAACCATGCTCAACCTGCAGAGTGGTTCCAACTGGAGCGGGCCAAACAACTGGTACCATGACCCGACTGGCGTGCAGTCCCAACACAGCACAGGTGAGCCCGCAATTCTACTCAATTAATGTTTTGTATTGCCCTAAATGACAACAGTAGTTTTCCTCGGGGGACTTTAGAAAACGTTTGGATTCGGCGACACAGCTCAGAGAACAGCTCAAAAACAAGAAATGCATTGATTAAAAACACATAGAGCCATTGGTCCATAAGAGACAGAGACCAATGTCCATTAATGTCCATAAACGTTGGTGAATATTGAGTGTCCTGGATCATCAACACTGGAGTGAAAATCTGTGTTAGATTAAGAAACACTGGGGCTAAAACACCTCCATTTTGATCCATGTTTCACTTATTGTCTGGTTGATGTTTGTGGCAGTGTCCGAGGGTTGCCTGCTGGACGCCGAGGGCCTGGGGGGTGACACCGCCTCAGGTCGGGCAGGGCCAGGAGGCGTCCCTGTGGACCGGGACGAGGGAGAGGAGTCCCAACTGAGGCTGCAGCTGAAGAGGAAGCTGCAGAGGAACCGGACCAGCTTCACGCAGGAGCAGATCGAGGCACTGGAGAAAGGTCAGGGCTCTCATTCCCCGCACACTGTCCAAGCGACCAATCACAGCTCAGCACACTCCACAGCCCCGCAGCATGAGCCCACCACACGACATCTGCTCTTGCGGGGCCTAGGACACATCTCGAACCAAAGCTTTACCGCGTCTCGAGTTTTTGGGTGAAGCGAAGGAGCCAGTGCCATGAATGAAAACGCACAAACAAAGATAATCGGAAGAGCCCCCAGCGTTATGTAAAAACCGTGCTTCATTACCGCCGTGGTGTGATGCAGAGAGATGGGCCTTGAAGCTGGAACAAGGAGGATCACGGAGGCAGCCCTGACCAGAGCTGGCTGCAGAGGGCCCCTGAGCTAAATAAGGACGCGATGTCCACTGTGCAGCCGAGTGGAAGTGTATCACTGTGGTCACATTAATGAGCTGCACTGACCCCGTGCGCAGTCAAGGCACAATAACAATAATGTGTCTACGCAGGCGCCAATTACGCAAAAAAACAATTATACCAATTTGTGGGATGCACTTAATCTACAGTCTGTTGGCTTCTTGCACTTTGGGCTTTTGATAATCGCAAAGCAGAGAAATCTTAACCCATGTTTTCTATGTCATTTCAATTCAGTTCAATTTGTTTCAGTAGTTTTCAGTCGTTTTTAGAAAAGGACTTTTGCAAAACTGTTGAATTCGCCGACACAGAGAATCAAACAGTTCAAACACAAGAAATGCACTGAAGCACTGCAAAAAATTACTAAATATGAGGTAATAAATACTGAAATCTATTGTTTTTTATTCTAATCTGAACACATTCTGACAGTCTTAAAACAAGATTCTCCAATGGGACAAAGCCATTTAGACTTTTTTTCTCATTCCAAGGGAGACATTTCTTTGACCCATTGACAAATCTGGTTTAAAGCAGTCAAAATGCTCTGAAATTTAGATACATTTTGCCAACTTTCAGATTCAGATTCAGATTCATTTATTTGCCATTTGCAGTAAAACCACATAGGAAAAACTGTGCAAGACTACCCCAGTGTGCATCAGACGACACACACCAGAGCTCTTGCCACGGCGCCATCTTTACGGCTCTTTGACTTATTATTCTTCACTTTTTGTAGTTAAAATGTCCAAAAATGTCCAATGTCCATACATGTGGTTGAGAATCGAGAGTCCTGGATCCTCACCTCTGTCCTTAGACCGTCCTACGCTCACCGTTTTTTTCCCAATATCGGCACGTGACTTTTACTTTCACTTCATGACTCACGTTGGTCAAGTCAGATTTTGTTCCAACTTGTCAAGAGCAAAAATGTCAGTCGTTTGTCAACTTTAAATGAACTGCCATCGGTGAGGAATGATTCTGCCGCCTGCTGAACATAATTCATATGAACACGGCAGCAGCATGTATAGACATTAAACATACATAAAACAAAAAAGAAAACATGCCAGACTTTGTTTTTTACTCGGTGCCCGGCTTCTCTCCAAGTTAAGTGCCAAGGCAACATGAATCCTTTCATTTGAACTTTCTGCATGTTCCACCACCATAAATAATTCATATAAAGTGCAACAGATAAATATTTCACATCTGGTTGTAAGGATACATCTCTCTTCCTCCATTTGTACATTTCATTGCAGGATAATTAGTCATTCTGATATTAAAACAGAAAAGGCTTGATGGCTGTGACTAAAATTATAACTTATTTAGACACAGTAGTCATGAATTTGCTCAACTTTTAACTCTAATGGACCAAATATTTCACTTTAATTCCTGTTTTTTGGGAGGTACACAGACTTTTTCCAAACATGTAGTCATTCTAATTGACATATACACATATAAGATTATCATTTTTTAGTCTCACAGTCTAGAAAAGTAGGAATGAGGAGCACAAGATAAATTAACAATAGCTATATATTTTCCTGGTCTTATCGCACCATCATACTCATTTCATTTTTAAGGGAAATGATAATTGCCCGGAGTTCAGGCCAGACTAACTCTATACAAACAATACAATACAATCTCCAAACATATATTTACTCTGATTGACCAAAAGTTTGACCCTAACTCCTGTTTTTTGGGATCGACATAGACCGGTACAAACATATGAATAGTTTAAATGCAAAAACAGTTAAGTGCCATTGGAAATATATCGGAATAGCTCACAGTTTGCTCTTTACCAAGTAGTTTTATGAAAAGCCGGATCTATTTTAGTGCCATACAAATAATATGTCACCTCTTTTTGAGCAAATTCTTTCAATGTACTGCCAAACAACGGGTCATCTTGAAGGTTGTAGCGCAAGGAATACAAAATGTTGACAATATTTCTAAATGGAGATGTCTGTTTTTGCATATGGGCTGTTCATATAGATTTTCTAAATTGAGATAGATACATAAAAATAAAAAAATCAACAAAATATCGTTATTGGGATATTAGTGCGTGCATATCGAAAGGATGCGTGATTAAATTATTATTATGATTTTTTATTATTGTTTTTAATTTCCTTTATTAAAGACAACAAGACAGACAGACGCATCAACATTCAACAATAAAAAAATAAAAATAAAATAAGTATATATATGCATTTGAATGTCATTAATGTTGTGCTCATTTTTCATTATTTGTCTCTTGCGTTTCTTTGCAGATGCAATTTTAGGTGAAAGACAAAAATATTGCAAAATATCGTTATCGCAATACTAAACACTCATAACGGATATTTCTCTAATTTCCAATATCGTGCAGCCCTAATATAAACATATATTTAGTCTGATTGATCAAATATTTGGGTCTACTTCCTGTTTTTGGGAGGTCTGGGAGGTCCTGTCCGGGTTCTTGAGGACCCCCAATGTGGCTTTAACACATCTATATTATCTTCCAGAGTTCGAGAGGACACATTACCCAGATGTCTTTGCACGTGAGCGATTGGCGAACAAGATCGATTTACCCGAGGCCAGAATACAGGTGGGCGAACACACTTACAGCAGATGATGAGATAAGATAAGAGAGTGGAGAAATGTCAGTGTTGCAGCACACATACAGGACAGTAGTAAGAGCACACAGGAAGCACACAAAATATACAAAATAAGTAGTGGCTTTGTTTCTTAGCTTTAGCTGTAAATGCTTCAATACCAGTCATTAAAAACTATATATATACAGTTTGTAGTGCGGAGTTATATACTGTACATATAGGGCAGGATCACAGCTTTATCAATTTATTTAGTCATTTTCACATCACTACGAATGACAAAATATATAAAAAAATGTGTGCATATCTTTGTGACACTCTGTAAAGCTTATAAATGAGGTCTCACATTGTATAAACAACAATACTAGGATTGCTTGAACAGAAGAAGTTTAGTTTTTCACATTGGCTTTCATTGGTCATATACAGTGCCAATTCTGTGTGTATATGTGTGTACGTGTGACTTTGTGTGTGCTGGGCAGGTGTGGTTCTCAAACCGGAGAGCCAAATGGAGGCGAGAGGAGAAGCTGAGGAACCAGCGCAGGTCCGGGGGCATGACATCGTGTTCACAGAGTCAGGCTCCGCTCACCACCTCCTTCAACACCAACGTCTACCACCAACAGCACAGCAGCTCCTCAGGTCAGTTCCTACATCGTCTGTGGCGCAGGAACCAGCATCCACAGACCAAAAAGTTCCTACTGTAGCGTCGTGTCTTAGTGGGAACCTGTCAGGACCGTCTTCATTCAGACTTGAAAATGAATACTGTATCTTTAAACCAGACCAGCCATAACTTCAGGCAGGTCCGGACAGAGCAGTGTCAGTCCCAGCATCAACAAGCCCAGTATGACCCAGTTTATTCTGTATTTTAATAATGTAAAATTCTGACATAGGTTTTTTACAAATGATTGTTTTATAAGCAGAGAATCATCCTGCAAAGTTTCAATTTTCTGGAATCAAGAAAATAGGTTTCAATTTGTCTTTGCGTTAACTAAAAATGTTTCATATCCATCCATTTTCTTCCGCTTCTTATTACTTCCTTATATTTCTTATCGACTGATTATTGAGAAAAATATAGTCCTTTTTAGATGTTTTTTCAGTTTAGCAGATACTAATTTTAAAAAGGCTCACAAGCCACTACGATTCTTTTATTGTATACCATTTTATACCATTTATAAGCAATTATGACTAATATAGGGTCACATAGGGTCCCACAAAACCTGAAACCTGTCACCTGTGTACAAGTATAACAGGATTGGTGAATGCAAATAGACCCTGACTGTAGACATGTGATGATGATGATAATAACGATGATGATGATGATGATGATGATACAGAGACAGTTGCGGTGTTTGAAGCCTGTGTGTGTGTGTGTGTGTGTGTGTGTGTGTGTGTGTGTGTGTGTGTGTGTGTTCAGGGTCCATGTTGAGTCAGGCCGAGACATCGCTGCCGAGTTACAGCTCTCTCTCTGTGTTCTCGTCTGGAGTACAGGTGCGACATACACACTCGGAACATATCATACACACAACATACACACAACATACACACAACATACACACAAATACAAACCATACATACATCATGAGGTTAGAGACAGAAACACTACATATTACATAGTTTACAATATTTACATTCATTTTTATGGAAATGCACACACACACACAAACACACACACATACATACACACATACAAACATACAAATACAGACACACACACAAACACATATACCCCCTATATACACACACACACACTGACATACACGTGCAGACACAGACAAATATAGATACAAATGTGTTTTTGAATTATTATTATTTGTATTATTAATATTATGTATGTATTCATCCCTCTATCACTTATGTTCACATGCAGATGCTTATACACTTACATAAATCCAGATTTGGATTCAATATTTAAATATTTTGCATCTGATAAAGCCCAGTAAACGTTGATCTGGCACCCCCCTGTGGTCAGAGAGAAGTAATGCAGTTGTGAGATCGGTGGTGATTATGAGGTCAGATTCAGATCAGACTGAGACTGAGTTCAATATATTCCTGCAAAATACCCATAATAAGGAGCAACTTTAGAATAATGAAGAGCAAGAATCAATTACAAAATGTCGAACTTTAGAATAACAAAAAAGTAAGTAAGTATAAAAAGAGCAACTTTGGCATAATAACGAAGCAAATACAAAATACTGTACATTCGAGCGCAAGAAATAAATGTTGTATGTAGATTAGTTTAGCTTTGGAAATGATTTATTAACAATGACATTTTATCAATAACTGAAGGATCCTTGCGTGTGTTGCTATTATTGTAAAGATAAGATCCTTCATTCAACCGACAATAGGGAAATTTCAATGTTGCAGCGCACATCAATGTATTTTACTATTATTTTCTGAGTGGAGTTTGCGTGTTCTCACCGTGTCTGCATAGGTTTCCTCTGGGTGCTCCGGTTTCCCCTACCATTAAAAATATGGACAATAGGTCTGGCATGTGCCTCCTGTTTGGCGACTGTGTGGAGGGAGAGACAAATGCCCAAAAAAAAAACTATTGTAAAGCGCCTTGAGACTCTGTGAAAGTTTCCACATAAAGATTATTTATTTAAAGATTATTTATTTATTTATTTGATAGGGACAAGTGTACACAATCAACATGTGACACACTTAAACAGTTATAGCCAAGGCTAATTAGCAATGTCCGTTCCTAGGAGGGCTTCTAACACAAATAAAAACACATTTTACATTATAATATTCACACATTCTCCAACTCATTCATGATCACAACTGGTTTGTTTTTTAAAAAATCGCTTCAGTTCGTGCTTAAAACCAGCCCAGTCAGAGTCCAGTTTTAGTTCAGGGCTCAAAGAGTTCCAGAGCTTTGGCCCCTGAACCATGAAGACCGATTGTCCGAATGTGGTTCTCCTGAAGGGCACTATTATTGTTATTCTTACTATACTGACCCTGTTTCTCTTTGCAGTCCATCCCTCCCCAGTCGGCCTCCTCTTACTCCTGCATGTTGCCCCCCTCTCCTTCTGCCCCTCGGAGCTTTGACTCGGCATACTCCTCCTCACACCTGCAGTCTCCGCCGACAGCTAACTCCAACACCGGTAATTTCATTTTTTCCTCTCTCCACGACAACACCAAACTGTTTCTGTAAATTTTGATGTTGCTCTCTGCAGGTCTCATCTCCCCGGGGGTCTCGGTGCCCGTGCAGGTCCCAGGAGCCGAGCAGCAGAGCCTGAGCCAATACTGGGCCCGATTACAGTGAACTGGACTGTCTCTGCGAAAGACCAGGAGTGTGAGGCGTGTCAGGATAAAAAGAGAGAGAGAGAAAGACACAGACTGTGGGTTCGAGGCCCTGGATGCATTCATGTTTACAATTCAACCAAGAGCAGCTTTGGTTGTGCTTGATAGTACTAGGCATTACTGGTATTTGTTCTTGTTTAGAGCCAGACGTCACCGATCACCGCGGCAACCGGTGGCATTGTGTAATGTTACCGTACACCGACCTCACACAGTTGTAACTATGGTAAACACCCCTATAGCTATATTTATTATACATGATTCCAGCTTTTACAACGTATTTAAATATCTTGATTATTATAAATATTCTCAGCCCGTCCTTGCAGCTGCCCAGGTGAGGGAAGGGAGCGTGAATATTAAAGTTTTATGATGTTATTTGATGAAAATTAATGAAATCCAACAAGCAGAGGTCAGTCCGAGAGAACGAGAGGTTTGGGAAGGTGCAGAGAATGAGACCTCGAACCACATTCACTGGAGCCCACAGGTTTCTTCAACACCAGGACTCCCAGAATTCTGAAACTACTAGAACTCGCAGGGCCGCTGTTTTGACTGCTCTCTTTCAAACTAATGGAGTTCAGAGAAATTCCGCCAAAAATTAATGTACTCACTTAAATAAGCGCTAATATAACTTAGATTACAAAAACATGTTTGCTGAAAGACCACCACATGCCGACTTGCTCTTCACTGGTGGGAAACTGAGACCCAGACCCAGCCCAGACCCAGTCCAGATCAAAATTATAATAGATCCATGGTCCAGACCCAGTTCAGACCCAGTCCAGCCCCAGTTCAGACCCAGTCCAGATCGATATTATAATAGATCCATGGTCCAGACCCAGTTCAGACCCAGTCCAGCCCCAGTTCAGACCCAGTCCAGATCGATATTATAATAGATCCATGGTCCAGACCCAGTTCAGACCCAGTCCAGCCCCAGTTCAGACCCAGTCCAGATCGATATTATAATAGATCCATGGTCCAGACCCAGTCCAGACCCAGGTGGCACGGTGGCTGAGTGGATAGCACTCTCGCCTCTCAGCAAGAAGGTCCTGGGTTCGAATTCCGGTTGGACCAGGGCCTTTCTGAGTGGAGTTTGCATGTTATCCCCATGTCTGCGTAGGTTTCCTCCGGGTGCTCCGGTTTCCCCTACCACTAAAAATATGTACAATAGGTCTGGCATGTGCCTCCTGTACTGGCCCCCCCACTCCCAAAAATAACAATTGTAAACCGCTTTGAGACTCTGATGTGCAGTGAAAAGGTGGTATATAAATAAAGATTACTTACTACTACTACTACTACTACTTACCCAGCACTGTGAGAAAGAGCTTCCTCTGCCATAGAAAGTTTGTTGCCATTCAGAGCTAAAGGTAGAATTATTTACATTAAAAACAATTTAAAAGTTATATTCATAAAAGTTAAAACATACAATTAAACTACAGACAGAAAAAGTCACAATTTTAGAAAAAAACAGAAATGTAAATGAGAAATTACACTTCGTCAATAATAATAATAATAATAATAATAATAATAATAATAATGCTTTGGTTTTATTCAGCGTTTTTTGGACACTCACATTCACTCCGTACACGGTGGTGATAAACTACTGCAGTAGCCACAGCTGCCCTGGGGCACTCTGACAGTCAAACCTGCTCTGGGAGTTCTAGTGTTAAGAGATCATAAACATATACCTTTATCTAATTATACGATCTCAAAGCGTCCGCAGAGAGACACACACATTTCTCCGACGTATATTGAATTTCTGTCATTCCCTGAAATCTAAAGGAGCCAAATACCAGCAGATGTGTATACTGTGAAGTGAAACCACAGTGTAGTTTCCCTGCAGAGTTGTGTGTCGTCTGTGGAGGATAATACTGTGAATATTTTGAACTTGCGGAGGGCAATCAAGTATTTTTGTACAGACTTGTATGTTAGCAGACCGAAGACGGCGGCTGGGAGAAAACATGGCCAATACGTAGCATGTTGTGGACCTAAAGCACAAAATGTATTCGTTGATATTTATTTAAGGACGCACCATTATTAGAAAAAGCCAGTGGTGTTTACCCAAATCTGCAGTATTGTGTGAGTTATGCAACGTAGGAGTGAGAGTAAAGAGAAGAATGGAATCATCACTGATCAAAAACTAAGTCGTACTGTGACTGATGCACCCCTAGTGGTCACTTCATTACACTACATCAACAAGCCAATGACAATCCATCATTTTATACCAAAAACTGCTCTGAGACAATCACAGCGGGAGACACTGTGGCATGACCAAAACCTACACGAGACAATCGAGTCCAGGCCCATCTGCATTCTCGTCTTTAAAAGTCTTTGAAAAGTATTTATTATGATTATTATTTGTCTTTTCACTCATTCACATTGTGTTGTTTTTGGCGTGTGTTGTGTTAGTTGTTTGGTGTAGCTACCAAGAGTCAACCCTTTTGTGATCAAGGCCTTGGATCCCTTTAATGAGAATAAAATGTGTGTTCGAACAGGACTGTGTCGGCTTCAGTTTGTGGAGACTGTTTTTATATTAATGGTTGGATTGTGTTTGTTGTAACGCAATATTTAAATTAGATTATTTCTTTAACATCCACTTTTTATACAGTAAGTACGGTTTAAATTGAGACAGATGTAAATGATTGTCACACAGATATATACACATACATAGACACACAAATACACACACATATACACATAGAGACACACAAACCCTCAGATAAATACCGCACATAGACACACAAAGACACACAAACACACACATATACACACAAATACACACACACAGTCACACATGCACATAAATAGAAACACACACACAGATATGCACACACACACACACAAACACACACACATAGACAGACACACAAACACTCAAATATAGATATACATAGATACAAAACCACACACACACACATACACACACACAGACACACAAACATAGACACACACACACACACACACACACACACACACACACACACACAGATTCAATATTTGTATTATTCTAAAAAAAAATTACACATTATCTGGTGTCCAGTTCATACTAAGAGGTTTTTTGAAGGTCTGAAAAATGTGGGAACCCCTGGCCTATAAACACAAAGAAAGATAACTGTAAATGTATAGAATAGATACTGTAAATGTATAGAATAGATACTGTAAATGTATAGAATAGATACTGTAAATGTATAGAATAGAGAAGAAGAGGAGTTAATGATGGGGCACTTATATGAGCACTTGCAGAGTGGACAGACTGCAGGAAACTGAGCTAATGGAGTGACTCACTGAGGCCCCAGAGAGAGGAAGAGGAGGAGGAGGAGGGAAACATAACACCAGAGAGGGGCAGCAGGACAGAGGCAGCAGGACAGAGGCAGCAGGAGAGAGGCAGCAGGACAGAGGCAGCAGGAGAGAGACAGCAGGAGAGAGACAGCAGGAGAGAGGCAGCAGGACAGAGGCAGCAGGAGAGAGACAGCAGGAGAGAGGCAGCAGGAGAGGGGCACCAGGAGAGGGGCAGCAGGAGAGAGACAGCAAGAGAGAGGCAGCAAGAGAGAGGCAGCAAGAGAGAGGCATCAGGAGAGAGGCAGCAGGAGAGAGGCAGCAGGAGAGGGGCAGCAGGAGAGAGGCAGCAAGAGAGGGGCAGCAGGAGAGAGACAGCAAGAGAGAGGCAGCAAGAGAGAGACAGCAGGAGAGAGGCAGCAGGAGAGGGGCAGCAGGAGAGGGGCAGCAGGAGAGGGGCAGCAGGAGAGAGGCAGCAGGAGAGAGGCAGCAGGAGAGAGGCAGCAGGAGGGAGACAGCAGGAGAGAGGCAGCAGGAGAGGGGCAGCAGGAGAGGGGCAGCAGGTGAGGGGCAGCAGGAGAGAGACAGCAAGAGAGAGGCAGCAGAGAGAAACAGCAGGAGAGAGGCATCAGGAGAGAGGCAGCAGGAGAGAGGCAGCAGGAGAGGGGCAGCAGGAGAGAGAGGCAGCAAGAGAGGGGCAGCAAGAGAGAGGCAGCAGGAGAGAGACAGCAAGAGAGAGGCAGCAAGAGAGAGACAGCAGGAGAGAGGCAGCAGGAGAGAGGCAGCAGGAGAGGGGCAGCAGGAGAGGGGCAACAGGAGAGGGGCAGCAGGAGAGAGGCAGCAGGAGAGAGGCAGCAGGAGAGAGGCAGCAGGAGGGAGACAGCAGGAGAGAGGCAGCAGGAGAGGGGCAGCAGGAGAGGGGCAGCAGGTGAGGGGCAGCAGGAGAGAGGCAGCAGGAGAGGGGCAGCAGGAGAGAAACAGCAGGAGAGGGGCAGCAGGAGAGAGGCAGCAGGAGAGGGGCAGCAGGAGAGAAACAGCAGGAGAGAGGCAGCAGGAGAGGGGCAGCAGGAGAGAGACAGCAGGAGAGAGGCAGCAGGAGAGAGGCAGCAGGAGAGGGGCAGCAGGAGCGAGGCAGCAGGAGAGAGGTAGCAGGAGAAAGGCAGCAGGAGAGAGGTAGCAAGAGGCACTTTACTCACACATCAGTGTCATACATACCTTCATGTAGAAAAGTGCTGAGTTTGTGTTAGAGAGAGAGAGAGAGAGGGAGATAGATAGAAAGAGAGAGTTAGAGAGAGAAAGAGATAGAGGAAGAGAGAAAGAGAGAGAGACAAAGTTAGAGAGAGAGAGACAGAGAGAGAGAGGGAGAGAGAGAGGGGGAGCGAGAGAGAGACAGAGTGAGAGAGAGACAGATATTGAGAGAGAGACAGAGTGAGAGAGAGAGCGGGAGAGAGAATGAGAGAGGGCGAGAGAGAGAACAATATGTCCAAAGATCAAATGAGATAAATTCACTTTTATTAGTTAGAAAAACAAAATGAATCCCATGTGAAATGTAGCAAAGATATAAAATTACGCTTATTACAACAAACATTATTTATAGTTAATATATTTTGGGTTATTTTCACAAAGAAAGATCACAAAAACATGAATACTTAATTCTAAATGTGTAAATAGGTTAGCAATACTGCCAAGACAAACATTTTTTATACATTAACTTTTATTAAAACATATTTGTAGGAGACACGTTTGGGCACGGTGTGAATAAATAAATGTTTGGCTGCTGGAGGAATACTGTGGCCGTGTGTGAGAGCACCTGTGTGTGTGTGGGCGTGTGTGAGAGCACCTGTGTGTGTGTGGGCGTGTGCGTGAGAGCACCTGTGTGTGTGTGTGTGTGTGTGTGTGTGTGTGTGTTTGGGCGTGTGCGTGAGAGCGCCTGTGTGTGTGTGTGTGTGCACTTGTTTTCAACTCCTGGTGGGTTCCATAACCTGAGATTCCACTCACGTCATGGGGACTGGTTTTACGTGGTGGGGCCCGAACACCGGACCCCACTGGTCCAAGCTTAATAATCAATGGGTAATGCTTTTCTAACGGTCCTTATGCAGTCTCTGTAAAAATATGGAAAGGACCCCTGGAGGTTTACTTTCCTGAAAAAAGTGTGTTATGTGTCGGAACCCTGGTGGTGGGTTGCGGGATATCAAGGAGGGGCACACTGGGGCAATTTCAGTCCAGCAGGCTGGAGCCAATCATGGAGCAGCACAACAGAGGAAATCAGGTGTCAGGCTAGAAAAAGGTGCAAGTGTGTGGTTCATTAGGCTGCAAGACATCATGGAGGAGCACACTGAAGCGCACGCTTACAAACCACTGGTAAGTGCTGACTACAAGTCATGACTTCAAATTGTTATATAGAATGATTACAAATTATTTGTTGTTTGTGCAGCTTAGTCAAGAGTCCCTAATTGATGAAGTCGACTCAGATTCTGACGATTTAACTGTCAAGAAGAAACCTGTAAAAAAGTATGGAAAAAGAAAAATCAAAAACACTTTTCTTCAAGACTCGGAAAGTGACGAACCAAAGGCAAATAATATTGTTATCATGCAGCTGCAAAAGAAGAAAAATGGGGGCAGGGTTTACAGCAAGAGACACTTCTGCCTCTACTGTTCAATGTCCTGCCACAAAATGTCCCGTCATTTGACTAGAAAACATGGAAATGAAAGTGACGTAGCCAGAGCATTGGCTCTACCTGTGAAATCTAAAGCACGTAAACTTCAGTTTGATTTGATCAGGAATAGTGGAAACCGTGAGCACAATTTTGAGGTTTTAAAGGCCGGCATTGGAACTTTAGTCCCAGCTAAACAGCCAAATTGCCCAGTTAAATCCAGTGAGTTTTTGCACTGTATAGACTGTGGGGCATTGCTTAAGCGAAAGTCGCTGTGGAGGCATGTGGCCAGGTGCCGGCTTTCACAGAAAGATTCCCAGGCTAAACCAGGCTAAACCAGGTAGAAGTAGGGTCCAGTCCCTCTGCTCCCTAGCCCAGCCTGTACCGGAGGGCATCAGCAAAAAGCTGTGGTCTTTAATTTCGGCAATGCATCAGGATGAGGTCACGGGTGTTTTCAAAGCAGAAAAGGGGATTCTGAGACTCGGAGAGCACCTGTACTTAAAACACGGGCATGATAAGACTAAGCATGATTACATTAGGCAGAAAATGAGAGAAGTCGGTAGGTTGATTAACGAAGCAAAAACTGCAGGGAAACTGAAAACAATTAAGGATTTATTTATTCCTTCCAACTTTAACCATGTGATTGATGCAGTCAGGTCTGTGGCTGGATATGATGAGGAAACAAATCAATACAAGACTCCATCCTTGGCCCTCAAACTCGGCCATAGCCTCAGAAAGCTAGCAGATATTCTTGAATGTGACTCAAAAATGGAGCATTGTGTTGATGAACTATTTATTAAAAACCTCCAACGAAGCCGGCTGCTTTTTGAGAAGAGGTGGGACGTCTGTGTTTCTTCTGCTGCCCTACAGACCCTCCGGCAAGCCAAGTGGAACACTCCGGACCTGCTCCCTCTGACTGAGGACGTTAGAGCCATGCATGCACATATTGAGGTATGTCGACCTGAATATGTGCAAACCCTAATAAGTGAGCCAACGTCTAAGCATTGGTCTAAACTGGCAGTTTTGACTCTTTGTGAGGTCATTATTTTCAATCGAAGAAGGGAAGGTGAGGTTTCAAAGATGCCACTGACAGCCTTTACCTTAAGAAGTAAGACTGGGATCCATTCTGACATTGCTCTGGGACTGTCCCAACTTGAGAAAAAGCTGTGTCAGCATTTTCAACGCATTGAAATTAAAGGGAAAAGAAGTCGGAAAGTGCCGGTTCTTTTGACTCCTGAAATGATTGCTTCGATGGAGGTGCTGGTGGAGAACAGAAGGGCCTGTTCCATCTCTGACCATAACCCATACTTCTTTTCCCGCCCGGGCGCAGACACCCACATCAGGGGATCAGACTCCCTACGCCAGGTAGCCAAAGAATGTGGTGCGGTGCATCCAGAGATGCTATCCTCAACCAAACTTAGAAAGCACATAGCTACTATGTCTACAGTTCTCAATATGAAAGAGAATGAAATGGACATACTAGCCAACTTCCTCGGCCATGACATTCGCATCCACAGACAATATTACAGACTACCAGAGGGGACACTGGAGCTGGCCAAAATCAGCAAAGTGTTGATGGCCATGGAGCAGGGAAGAGTGACGGAATTCGAAGGAAAGAGCCTCGACCAGATACAAATTGAGCCTGAAGGTAATTCTTGATATTATTAAAATATGTATGATTTTTTTCCCCTAAAGGCCACTTGTATTTTTATTTTCTGTGCGACAGGGAGAGCAGTAGAGATCCTCTCACAAACGGACGGGCTAAAAGAAACTTCAAGCGGAGAACCTTCAACCATTCATCCAGATGCACCCCATGGTAGTGGCAGTGCCCCTTCTGGTAAGTGTACCAGGTGGGGGATTACAGCCAGGCTGCTTGGTCCTAACCCTGGGAGTGTATATTGCTAATATATTTTTATTTCTCTCCCTAGAACGTGTAAGAAAGCCATGGTCTGCATCTGAGGTGAAGGTTGTGGAGAAGACCATGACACCTTTCATACAGACTGGAAAAGTCCCTGGGAAGTCTCACTGCCTGGCCTGCATTAATGCCTCACCAGATGACCTTAGACATCGGACATGGAGTGGCATTAAATTCTATGTCAAAAATAGAATCACTGCAATTCGAAAAAAAAATCTAAAATAAAATTCCTTTAAAATAGTTGTTTGGTTTCTATTGACTGTTTTGTATTACTTAAAGTAGTCCCAGTAAAAAAAGATTATGTCTATGGGTCCCATTCTGAACGGCCCTGTCAAAGGGACCCACCAGGTAACAAAAACGTGTATGTGTGTGTGGGCGTGTGCGTGAGAGCGCCTGTGTGTGTGTGTGTGTGTGTGTGTGTGTGTGGGCGTGTGCGTGAGAGCGCCTGTGTGTGGGCGTGTATGTTTGTTTGGGCGCGGTACACGAGATTATGAATGGGCATACACCTGCGGGGGCACGGGAAAAAAGAGAGAGGTCTGTTTGGGATGCCATATTTTTTTTTAACCGCTATTATAGTTTTGTTTGATTTATTTTTGCTATTTTTCTGTTCTGTGTATTCTTAAGTTTAATCACCCATTTTTTCTGGATATATTCAGCATGTATATTTGGCCTGTGACCGCAGCGTTTATTATGAATTAAATGACATCGCAACTGGATCCAGCCTCACCGTTTGTTTTCTATTCTTATTGAGCGCGTCATACACTTTTATCAGGCCTCTCCGCGGCATTAGGCAACAGGCAGCCGCTATAATATTAAAATAATGACGTGTGAAGCGTCTGTGTCCAAAAAGGTGATAAAACCGATGCATTATTCTTATTATTATTATTCTTACTAGAAATGTAGCAAATATTTAAAATGTGGTTTTGTACTTATGCTTCTTACAACCCACATTCTACGTCATGGTGCTACGTCCCTTAGCGGACTTCGCTAGTGGGATATCACGTGACCCCCAGGTCACACGCCAGAGAGATCAAAATAATTTTCTCCAATCGCTAGCGACCCTCCTCTATAAAGGCCCCTGCACAAGGCCGCACCCCCTCTTTCACTCTGGCGCCGATTGAGATCTTACCTTCTACGTCGTACTTCATGTCAGAGATGTCTACCCCGACTGCACGTCCGAGTTCCCCTTTGCCCTCCGGTGTCGGACGTTGTCGGTGCTCCACCTGTCGGGTCAAGCTTCACCGCACGGATCAGCATGCCAGCTGCTTCACGGGCATGGGCTCGGGCCATGCGGCTGAGAGCGCTAGCTGCGCCTTGTGTCTCGCTCTCCCCAGGGAGGAGAGCAAACGCAGGCGAGCGTTCTACGCCGCTATGATGCCCCCTCCGGACTCTTCTAAGGACGAAGGGTCCGAGATTGACTGGGCCCCACTCGACCTTCCTCCTGTGCCCGCGGAATGGGGAGACTGCGAGGTTGGAGACTCGGAGGACGGCTCGCTCATCACCCTGGACGAGGTGGTTTCCAACCCGGAGCAGGACCGCTTCCCGCTGGACCACATGCCGGGTCTCTACTCGTCCGCGGCGGCCATCATGGGGGCCCCCCTGCCACCACAGCCAGACCAAGCGGTGGTGGACTTCACCTCCGTTGGCGCCGCACCTCGAGGGAGGAGGAGGAAGCAGCCCACACTGTGCCCGCAAATGGAGCCGATCCTCCATTACGCGACGCGTGAGTGGTCCAAACCTCTGGCAGCCAAGAGGCCTGCCTTGGGTTATGGGATGTACTGCAACGTGCAAGACTGGTCCTGGACCGGTGGCGTCCCGGATGTTAAATCAAGATAAACTCCACTTGTAGTTCGTTACATTTATTTTTCGTTAACTCCACTCAGGTTCCACATACATCCACCTGTTACGGTCTGCCTCCAAGACGAAACATGTGCGCTAAACAAAGAGCGCTAGAGCCCCCTAGCTGTAAGGCATGGAAGGTGAACATTAAACCAAGAGCTAACAAACTCACTCTCTTTATAAAAATAAAAAAATAAAACCTCTTTTTTTTTTAACACAACATGGACATGTAAACATTATTAACAGAATCGTTTTATAACATTCAGATGGTCACCCAACAGCCCACTGTCCTTCATGAAGAGCCTTTAGCAGCCTAGCTGAAGAGGCACCCTTTTTTGTTAGGCAGTCTGCAAGTTGGTCTTTGGTTTCTGACCACACCACCTGTTGAACCATTTTGTTTTGGATCAGTTCTTTTATAGAACTAATTTCCAAGCGTAGTCTCTTTTCAGTCACAAACTTTGTAGACTTCAGTGCATCAACAAGAGAAAAGTTATCAGTAACACAGATTATTGGCACACTGTGATCTGTACAACCTGCACTCAGCTCAGAAAACAATGTAGAAAGAAAAATGGCATTGTCAACTCCCTCAGACATT